GGTGAAGATATGATCAATACACCCTCTTCCTGGTCTAAAGCCTGCCTAGCTCTCTCGTGTTTGAGCCTCCCGAGCACCACTTAGTCTACGCATGATTATTGAGCCTAAGACTTTAGATACTATATTAGTCAAGCTAATCCCTCTGTAGTTTCATAACCTTATTGATTGTCTTACTCTGTCTACCCAAAACTCTACGCTTAACCGGAGTATTACACACCCTTTAACATGGTAGATAGAACGCAGCTTTATCTCTAACTTTTCATGGTCGGTATCACCTCTAATTAGATTACAACAAACAGGTTGAGTAACCTGTCAGTTATTTAGATTGTGAAGTTCATTTCTGTAGGGATTTGAATTAATCTCAGTGTGGATTTAGTCACGAACCAGCAATATGGAGGTATTGGTTGGAACTCGGAGTTCATTGAATTGCAGCTGAAGTGGCTGAATGGTCGACGACCTTGGGTTCATAACCTGAATGCCATAAGGTCGATCCCTGGTGAGGTAGTGGGTATGCACTTCTGAAGAACCCCAACAATGGGTGAAACAGTTGTCCAATGCCTCCTGACTTTCAATGATCTCCAACTGGCGTTGTGGCATGTGCTACTGATAGAATTTGTCAGTGGTATGTAAAGACTTTCATCAGCACAAAAAGATCAAAGCGAAGAGACAGACTGCACGTCAAAGAGATCAAATGAACCAGCAACTGTGGCAAAATACAGAAATTCAATTAACAAAAAAAAAAATAAGCACCTACTCTAGCCACTTTATAACCGGACAATTGACTGACAAATTTATACAAATGAAAATCAGCTACAGCCGCAAAACAAGCGTGTAAAATTTGAGGTGATTTCACTATGAGCCAGTGTGAGTCAATACCGCACAATGAGAATAATTTGTACAAAAGGCTTATTAAAATTGGATGTAAAGGACTTCGTAGTGCAATATCTGATTGCCATTCCCAAGTTAACGATCCATATCTAGTAAAAAAAAAGGTTGGGGAAAAGTAATGAGTATGGCAGAGACTTTAACTTCGATACTGTTTGAATTATGACATGCAAATTTTATACCCTCGACACATTACCACTGAAAAATATCATGGGCTGAAAGTTCAGTCAGATGAAAGTTAATCGGCATACAGATGTCACAACAAATCAAATTTCAAAGATAAACTTATTTATTACTCAGGCAAAAGATATTTTTTTAGTAAACAAGAGATAACTAATTGTAAAGGCGGAAGACAAAAGGATTCGGTAACGGAATTATTTATTGGCAATTCATTGCATAGGAGATATTTGCAAAATACGTCTACCATATGCCAGAATCACAATCTGCACATGTCTTTGGTATTGTGTTTCTTTGTCTCCCTTTCATGTTTTCCATGACTTTTTTTTATTTAATCTCTCCCTCTCTCCCTAATATTTATTTATTTTTCAAAAATAAAATATTAGTTTGTTTATTGGATATATCACACAGTGAAACGGTATTGTTTACTGGCAGATGTATTCATGGATAGGTGGGAAAATATAGCGATTGAAACGTTCAGTCCCACCCACCCCAATTGTATGGTGGAGGTATATAAATGACACATTCACTGTACTTAGAACACAAGATATAGGTAGATTTTTCGAACACATTAACTCAAAGGTGGAGGCAATTCAATTCACTTATGAATTGGAAAGTCAGGAAGGGGAACTTCCAATGTTAGAATGCAGCTCGTAAAAAGGAAAGAAGATGGAAAGTTAAACACTAGTGTTTACAGGAAACCCGCACATTCAAACAGATATTTGGATTTCCAATCACCTCATCATACGTCAGTAAAAATAGGATTGATGAAATGTTTAATTGACACAGCCCAAAAACTAAGTAGTATCAAGGAAAATCTAAGACAGGAAGTGATACATATAACAGAAGTATTGAAACTTAATATTTACCCTAACAAATTATTCAGGAAGTATGCGGGGAAATAAAAAAATAAAACAAACAACAACAGTAATGATAGAGATAATGATAATATTAATGACGACATGCATGTCAAACATGCGCAAGACGACACCAACAACAAGGAATCTAAATCATCAGTAGTAATTCCATACAAGGAGGGAACCTCGGAAACCTTATGGAGAATTCTTTACAAGACAGGGATAAAACGGGGCGGGTATTCAAACCGACAAACTCAATTAGAAACGAGCTTTCTCGGCTAAAGTATCCCGTGCAGACAATTAAACAAAATAATTTAGTTTATCTAGTACCCTGCTGGAATGATTGTCGGGTCAAATAATTAAGTCAAACCAGTAGAACAGGGGCAGTCAGACTAGCCGAGCATAAAAATCTAGCGAAATCTAGATTAGTTGACGCTAATCAGAAAAGAAAGCTGTAGAATAATTCAGGTGTAGTACTCTTTACATGAGATTAGACACAACCATATACGATGGATGGGATACGATGACAGTTTTAAAATCTAATGTCACAGTGTGGAGGGGGAGATTGATAACAGAAGCTTTGTTTATATAAATCAACTGCAAACACGTGTAAAAGGAATGATTCAACATCTGTCCCAGATATCCGGAAAATTCTACTGCCTCTATGACAAATAGGAGAGAACAAAGGAAACAATAGAACTCAAAATTCGAAGTCGTGTGATTATAATTGGCGATATGATTATGAACCACAATAAATTGTGTTCGAAACTGTGTCATCCAGTAAATAATACTGTTTCACTCACTGAGTGATATCTCTAATACACAAACTAATATGGAATTACTTACTACGACAGTGTCCAATTTTTACACATTTATTAGCATTATCTATAGACAGAGAGAGTAGTCTTCGTTTAGGATTTCAGGTTCATCAAGTAGAGAAAAACTGTATGGAATTCGACACATTTTGCGCAGAAAGATCTTTTTCAAAATATTCGGTGCACTAAGTAATGCGTAAATACCCTGTTTTTCATTCCGAGTGGAGAGTAGGTCTTAGGTTTGGAAGCTTCATTAACCGTGGAGTTATCTTAACGGGTTGATATTTCTAGCCTCATAGCAAACACTCCATCATTTCTTGAGTTATTACCAATTAGTGAAATAGGCGAAGTATAGAAGTACATCAGACGGGAATCCAACCCGGTCCAGTTATATGGTTGGTGAGCACTCAACCGCTGAACCAACCAACCACCAACGTACGTATAGGTTTCACAGGATGGAATAAATCTTTAATACAACAATCGATGGCCTTACGATTGTATTTTAGAATTTACTTTATTTTTTGGAGTTCCCAGTGGAACATAGGGCTTGAAGCGAGAGCTTCGAAGTTTCAGTAGCAGTGGCATTTTTTTTACTGGGTGGGGTTGTCTGCCTCATGTCCAACGCTCCCTCTTTACCGGGCTTATTACTGACTAAGCGAGGTAAAGAAGTGCGTCGGCCGGGGATTGAACTCCGGACCACTTAACTTGGTTGGCACCAGTGTCGTACCACTGAACCAACTACACACGACTGTAGGTCTTCTAAAAATCCCTGAAAAGCTGTATGATAGAAAACAGATATGTCAATTTTGCTAAAGTAATGAAATATACGAAATGTGTTACACTGGTTGCACAGAATATTGTTATTTTTAATTCGCCACAGTAGTAACTCCGCTCACCCAAACACCCAGTTATGCGCCACTTCAATTGACTGCCAATACTCATCTGGTACATAGGATGTTTGAATCAGTAAGGCATTGAAAATTCGGAAAATTAGTAGACATGTGAACAGCTTCCTTGAATCTTTGAACAGAAATTCCATAAATAGCGAATGACACCTAAAATGATAGATGGTGAGACAGATTACTCGAAAATAAACGACATGAAAATATACACGTCAAGGAAAAGACAAGTACTGACTACTAACTTTTATGTATCAAATATTAATCTTGTAGACACTGTAACCAAAACTAGTTGCGTTACAGTTTCAGAAAAAAAGATTAAAACGAATGTGATTTTTCACAGCGTGTTACATAACACTGGTTGATTTTTGTTTTTTTTTCTATCACAAGAGGACGGGGATAAGTTTGATCGACAGTAAATAGCATTACAATAACAGAAGAACAGTCAATGAGTCGAATCGCAGTTATGTGGTCACTTAACCAAATGATGAAACCACACCATACAGCCCCAGTTAAGCGCCTATGAATCAATCACAAGAGGTTGTGACAAACGAAACCGAGGCACAACGCCTTTTTACACTGTCGTGATAAAGTAATGCACTTTTTAAGCTTATAGCTTACACTTGTAGATATCGTATTATTTTCCTTTTCAAGATAAAATTTGCAACCATTTAGAGTTAATAAAAAATAAGAGACATTTAATAGAAAATACACATTATTACCATATTTCCTTCTACTTGCCTTATCCACTAATTGATGTAACTTTATTGCGAAGAAACTGGGATCTTTAGGCTGAAAAAAAACTCATGAGTGGTATTATATACTACTGAATGACTGATATTAGTAGTCGGTTATCACTCGTATCAATCAGTAGAGCTTGCTAACCATAGTGAAGTAACCGAAACACTGAACAACCGTTTCGCTAGTCTGGTGCAGAAGTTACAGTTTTACTTAGCTCAGAGAGAGAAATCATTTCGAACGCCTTAAATTCTAGCTGGTTGTCACCTGAAACTTGTCCAGAAATACCACCAACAGCACAACTACAGAACTGTCAGTGAACACTAATCCTTCAACAAAGGCGGAAGTTTTGCATGCCATAAAGGCAGATGGGAAGGTGGCAGGATGACATGGGATTCCTCCAGAATAGATGAAAATTGATCCAGAGACCTCAGCGAATATCCTCACGCAACCATTACAGAAAGTTGGGAAGAAAAGGACCCACCAACTGGTAGAAAGGTTACCTCATCAAGCTACCAAAGAAAAGCGACTTAAGCCTCCACAAAAACTGGCGGGGAATAATGTTCCCTTCCACGCTAAGCTAAATACTAGCTGGCGTCTTCCTTGGGAGGTTAAAAGGTGTTTTGGAGGCAAACAGTCACCAGAAAAAGAGGTGGATTCAGGGAAAGCAAATCACATGCGGACTAAATTTCGACGCTTTGCATCATCATCGAACAGGGCATAGAATCAACCTTGAGAAGACATTCCGTTGGCGTCGACCGTGAAGTAATTTGGTAGGTTTTTCAACACTACGGAGTGTATTAACGCAAATGTTTAAAAAGCACATTCAACAGTTATATGATGATCTCAAGTAATCAACAACGGATAACCCACCCATCTAAATACAGGAATGAGACAAGGTTACTTTCTATTGCCGACGGTCTTCCTGATCGTGGTTCACTGGGTCATACAGTAGATTTTTGAGTGAGAAGACGGGAATACACACTGGACCGACCAAAGGTCCCCAGAAGATCTGAACTTCACGGACAGTTTATGTTTTGAAACACAAACTTGAATAAAAATTCGATAAAATCTCAGACAGAACTTCAGGTGAACATAGAGAAGACGGAGGTGAAGAAGATAACCATCCCAAAACAACAATCATCATCATCACTAACTGGAGAAATTTGAAAGAGGTCACTTCCTTAACTTATCCGGCTAGAAAGCATCGTCTCAGCTATAGACAGAACGGATGAAAATGTTAAAGCCAGCAAGGTAGACGACCTTCATCACTCTGAAATCAGTTTGGAAATCTTCTGCACTCCCCAGCATAAACAACAAAATTCGGATTTTTAACACACTACAGTCAAGTCATTTCTTCTATAGGGGTCAAATGACTTGGCACATCGCACATTGCCAACAGATTACACACTTTTATCAACAACACCTTGCTTCTTCGATTCCACAGTGAAGACTAGATGGCTGGCTAAAAAGAATTAGCAACAAGAAACTGGCTGGGAACAAACCAACTAAGAACCTATTGCGCAATCAACAAATATTCCGAGGAAAATGGAGATGGATGCTTTCTGAGGAGACTGCTAAGTGACATCGCGCACAAGACCTTCGACTTGAGCATTTAAGGGTGTGTAAGTAGGAAATGAAGGTGCTTACGGACAATTATGCAACCAAATAAAAAGATACAGGAGAGCAGAGTGAAATGGCTAAAACTACATGTTTCACTCGGAACCTATGGGAACAATCAATACAAGGAATGGCCCCTCAGTTTACGATTATTTTCGGTAGTAATACAACACAGGATGAAATGCAAGGTTCCCAGCCGAACGTCATTCATTTCGCCACTGGAATATGGATTCAATAGTTTGTAAACTTCAGTTTATTTATTTTTGTAACATATTTAAACTGTTGACCGAGTATTTCAGTGATACTATGCATAACTACTGGTAGTCTGACAATCTCTGAACTATGATCCCTGACTACATTCACAATGAAACCAAGAGACCAACCCTTCAAAACTTAACAACGTTAGCATTCACCAAACAAACCGATTTGTTAAAGCGTATAGTAAGAGAGATCAGTATTCATAAAAAAATATTTATATTTACAAATAACAGTCTCAATCTACTTCACAATTTACAGAACTGTTCCGAGATCGTTTGGATTTTAATTCTTCATTATCACTATTAAGTGAATTATGAAAGCCATTCATACTCTGCCCGATATCTGATATATCTATGTTAACACTTTGAAGAGCATCACATGCCCAGGACGGTGGACGACAACCTTCATATTCACTTGGATTTTGATCTCCTCTGGCCATATAACACCGACGTTCAAAAAATGAACGAACAAATTGTGGAAAAGTGTTTTCACTTATAGCTTCTCTGCACTTTTTCATCAAACCAAGCATATAAGCTAAATTATGCAAGCTGACAACAGCTGAAGCATTGACTTGTCGACCTGATAAGGCTGAGTGTATCCATGCTCGAGACAGCGGACGTGTACATGTTGGACAAGGACAATTTTCATCGATAGGACGAAAATCTGAAGCGTATACAGCATGACGAAGATTCAGCTACAAAGGAAACAATAAAAACGATCCATTCAACCATCTGATGTCTTAGAAGAAAGTTCAAATGAAAATGCAATTAGCCTGGGTTGATCGATAGCACTTGTAAAACCCCATTATTTAAAGCTGTCTTATTGTATCACAATTAATTTATCAGTGCAATTACTGAATGAAGATTACTCAATCTGTTCGAAAATGGTTTTGACTGTTTAATTTAAATCAATAAATTCGCGTTTACATTAGAATGTTATGTTTCTGTTTGACTTAATCGATAGTTGAACGTGAAATGTTTGCACTCGAAGAGAAAGCAATTAAGGAATTTTATTCCATCTACCACAACCAGCTAATAGTACTACAAAGTTCACACAATAATTTCATGGGGATTTTAGTAATTATTTAGCCATTAAGATACATCAACAAGTTATCAATTAGAGAACTCCTCCGCCTTATGCACAGATAATAAATGGGTTACAACCGAAATGCATTTCACAATTATATGCAAACGATTCATTTATAAAAGCAATTTTGGCAGTGGTGTGAACACGCGCAGAGTAATTTCGCTCGAAATATTAACAATAACAAAACTTATCATTGTGTGTAAACCATTGTCTGTCTGTTTTCGACATAGAACTTTGCACAATATGTGCGGAAGTTCATATCGCCAGACTCCCACCTTGTAGCACACAAAGCAACAGAAGAAATGCATATTAGAGACAGTAATCAGAGATGTGAGACTAAGGAATAGTAGTAACGAAGAACAAAACAGTTTTATTGGAAATCATAAGTCGAAAGGAGTGGATGCATCTGCGCTATGCATTGAGAACGATTTTGAGCCATGTCACCAATTGCTTCAAACCATTGGTTTTTACCGTCCCGAGGACCTCAACCAAGAAATCTACACCTTCCTACGTGACTGACTTAAACTAACTGTTGTGGATTTCATTGACTGATGAGGCCATGTTATGGTTTGACCGCCGCTAGCTCTTTTCCAGCCTGACCAACCCTATGTTAGCTAACATTGACCGTAGTCGAGGAAGGCGATGACCAGGCATACGTAACACATGTCCTAACCATCTCTCTCAGTCGATGTAATTTCACAGCCTCGTCTATTGATTTCCCCTCCTTACCTAGTATTCGATCGATGTCTAACCTCAATATTGCTCACCTTATTATACCACTTCACACAGGAGATAGAGCACAGGCACCATTGAAATATAATTATACTTTATTTGACCTGTTCCACAATGCTCAAACTTTTTTACTGACACTGGCCGATTTCTTTATTGCTAAGCTTCAAAACAGTCCATTGGAACAAGTAATAGATAAAACGGATTCTTATTTTCGTTGATGTTGATGATACGTTTATTATTCTTGATGAGAAGGCTGACAAGAATGAAATGTTAAAAAAGTTTAATGATGCACATCCAGCGCTCATCTTCACTTGTGAAGAATAACATGATGGTAGGCTACATTTCTTTGATGTCCAATTTAGCAGAAGAGAGGACAGTTCACTCAAGAGAGATGCCTGTAGAAAACCTACATCCGTAGGACAATATACACATTTCCTCAGTTTTGTACCAATCCGATACAAAATCAAGGTCAGATGCCTCACGAATAGAGAAAGTCGGAGCAAGACGTATGACTCCCTAGAAAATGAGTTAGAATATATTCAAAATGCACTGGTCCAAATGGAGGAGACACATGAACACCAGGCACTGACAACAGTAAAAAAAAAAAGAAACAACTGTTAGTAAAATTGCAATTTAATGGGGACATGGCTAGTGAAATCCTGCACCTAGGATTATCTAGAGCAATGAAAAGGACTTATACTGCCGCCACCCTTTGTTTGTCATTTTCCAGCCGTCCAATTATTGATTGCTCAAGTGAAAGACAAGCTACCTAGGCAAAACGTGATATCAGCCAATGAAGTCTTTATCTGTTGGTTTGATCCAGCCACATAGGCTTTGTGTTTTTGGGATCCTCAGAATTCTAAGATATAATGGTTGAAGACTCTATTGGTGATATGATTCAAAATCATTTTAATGTCATATATCGCATTATATATAAGGTGTATAGATGTCCCAAAAAAAACCTTATGCATGAACTTGGAGTTCAAAGGTGACCAAGCTTCAGATATGCTCAAAATTCGTCTCTCCAAAGTAGTCAGTAAGACGTTTTTTGCAGCAAAATTACATATGACGTTCACTAGTCGCAAATTTTTCTCTACCTCTGTAAAAGATAAGCTTCCCCGTCTGGACGCCTCCATGTGCATCTATTAGTTTAACTGCTCATATGGAGCAAGGTACATTGTCCATAGCCAGAGGTCACTTTCAACACGCATACGAGAACATATTCAAGTTTGGTTTTACAAGGGAGAAAGGAAGTCTGTGCGAAGTTCCATTCTGAAACACCTGATCGACTTCTGTCACTCAGTCAACCCTGACTATGATCATCTACTGAATCCAAGCCAACCTGCCGCGTTTTCCTCGTTACAGACTTCTAAAGACAGCGGAGGCCTTGGCAAATCATGACTTTAAGCCAGACTTTTATGTACAAAAGCAGTACGCACAATCCCTACTTCTGTCTTGGCCGTAGAGAAACAGACATTTATTTATTTATTTTGTTTATTTAGTTATTCTGTGTACCTTTCCCTTATTACCACGATTATTATTATTACTATTTTCACTCCGAATTGTTTCCACTTGTCCCACTTGTCATGCTAAATCAAAAATTATTTATTTTTGATTTTAGAATATTGAATTCTGTCTTATCAAATTTCACACAATGTTATGTAACATTTTATATTCGCCTTCTAATCCTATAATTATGCACCCCTTTCCAACAAAATCTATACACCTTATGTATTATTCTGTATATGACATTGATTGTTTTGCCACTTGACATTTAACTATGATTATAATCACAAACATTTTAATTGTATTTCATACTACTATAATTATTATTTCATGTATATCACACATTTGATCTATTCCCATCCCCGGATATAATTTCTTTACAAAACCATATATATATATATATATATATATATATATATATATATATATATATATATATATAGAATGGAAAACAAAATCAAAATCAGAAGGATAGCATTTATCAAAAAACTCACTTGGCCCCAGGGTACCAGTGCATTACCGAATCGACCAGTTCGCGTAGGATAAACACAATCAAACATATCACAACCCAATGCTATACAAACAACTAGGTCAACGGGGAATCCCACTCCCATTACATAACGTGGACGATCTCGAGGTAAGTGTTCTGTGGAAAGTTTGACAATACGCCAGAAATCATCTTTTGCCTCACCACCACTAAGACCACCAATAGCGTATCCAGCTATCTACAAGTAAATACCAGAGATTACAAATAGGCATAATAACATTCGCATTACGATTCATGTCCAATGTCGCATAAATTTGGTGAATAACACGCGAAAATCAGCGAGTTGACAGAAGAATCAGCAAGTGAAAACAGAGAAGACAGGGGTGATGAAGACAACAACAACAACAAGGGCCAATCACTATCAACGATGGAAATTTGAAACGGGTGGCTTCCTTCGCTTATCCAGGAAGCAGGGTTTCAGCTACAGACGAAACGGATGAAGATGTCGAAGCCACCACCAGTAAAGCACCGGACTTTGTCGTATGATATTTCCTCTTCGTACAGAATCTTCAAATAAAAAACTATCTGACCTGAGGCACGAAATGATGTACTATGATATCTCTTCAGTACCAATTCTAAAATGTTCAGGAGTACATTTTTGTGAACCAAGGAGAACACTGAGGAACAGTATTCTCATGTAATGGGATAAGCTGCCATCATCCATCGAGGTTAATACTTTTTCACATGTTTAGTAGAACCACAACAGGTTGTAAATGTTTTAAATACTTGCCAGATCAAACAGTGATATTACAGGTAATATTTTAGCAGATTTAGACGGACTCGATAAGAGGAATTATATGCAGGATACTGATCGGAGTTTTCGGTGAATCAGGTTTTAAGCAGGCCGAAATATTACGTTAAATCAGAGAGAGAGACTCAGAGCGAGCGTTATGAGAAGCATTTGTAACAGGCTTTAGGCTTCTATCTACAACTACCTTGACTCTACAGGGAAAATCACAGAGCCGACAAGAAAAGATGAGCAACACGGAACCCTGGGAGCAAACCAATCAATAACTTATTACTCAACAAATATCCCGACAGAAATAGACATGAATCGGAAAAACCGGTGAGGCGACCACTGATTGACATCGCCTCAAGTGGAACACGAGTAGGAAACGACGACGGAGGGGGGGAGATCAAAGCCTATGAGGAACGGCGGACTCAACTAAAGAGGAAAGCGGAAAATAGAACAAATTGGAGATGTGTTGTTGAAGCCCTACGTTCCACTGACAATCCAAGGGCATAATATTAATAATATACTTCATTACCGATCAGGTATGACGTTTACTGTACACAGAAGTAATCATACAACCTATTAAAACATATCAATGGCATTTCCGGTTTACATACGCATTATGAAGTGGTTGTTAGACAAATTGAAAAAAGATTATAGATCACTAACACATTCAGTCAAAGTAAATGCACAAACGTATCAAAAGTCTTCTCATTTGTTTTGTAATGTAAATGTATATACACACAGATTTGTGAAATTGTAGTCATAACCACTGAACAAATAAATAAATACCAAATTATATCGTTCTAATAATTTTTCTAAAAAATAAAACTAGTTCGCTGACGTGTAAAATACTGAACCGTTTCAATAATTAGAGAACAGCATTACCTATATACACCTGTATGCCGACGGATTGTAACTTGGATGGAAGTAAGGATGAGTTCTACCACCGACTGAGTGACCTCATAAAGCATGCGTGTGTAAGCTGGGGACTTGAATGCACATTTCGGGCATTTAGTCTTAGAAGACATTTCTTTAGACACCCAAGGGGGGCTAAATGGTCGCAAGTCAAATAATGGGGACCGTCTTCAGCAGCAGCAGATTGTAACTTATTTCCAACTGCTGGTAAATCAATCGACTGAGTGCCATCTGATGTTCTCTCGCTAACGCACAAGCCTGGACTTAGATAGATTGTACCGATTTTATTTACCAATGGCTCGGGTGCATATGAGACTGCCACTCCTTCTGGAACAATTGTCTGAATTTTTATCATGCTTTAGTGTGTGTCAGGTTTATCTTGCAATTTGGTGGTGATCGTTGACGTCATCCTTAACAGGTCAACATAAATGAACTGATAGCACTTTCTACCTTCTGAGAAGTGTGAGTGACGGTAGAGGTGTGCGGAACGACCCTTCTATTCCTACAAAGCAAGTCAAAGAGGCGTACATAAGAATAAAAATCCAGATTCTCAACACAAATGTCAGCTCAATTTTTCTATATGGTTCAGAGAATCGGATCAAGAGTCACGAGAAGCATTTACAACAGGCTTTAGACTTTTATCTACACAAGCTGTCTTGGCTCCAACCTCGGTCGCCCCTAACACACTATTGCAACGTGACACTGCCTTTGAAATGCTTCAGTGCTGTCAATATTAGTCTACGCTTGTGACAAATATACCCTCCAATATAAAAAAGGTCCTGCAACTCTATATTTTCGGTTAACACTATCTCTGTAAAATTACTTGCGTATGATGAGCACCACCATGTCAGTAATTTAGAAGTTTGACGTCGTATGTTCAAAAGTCAAGGAAATAGTCTTCCCGTATGTCACGTCCTGGCAATGTGCTACAATCGAAAATGATTAGTAAGTCAATCAATTTAGACCATGCGGATACTAACAGCTGGATTTTAACACGTCCTATTAAGAAGAAAAAAAGTCACCTTCAGTGTAACGCATCAGTAAGTAACTCCACTAACCTTATCTTTACGCTTCAACATTTCATTGATACAGTAAATCCTCATTGATGGATCTAAACCACCTTGAGTGATCGCAAACAGATTTTGCTTATCTTGTTGATTTTGATGAGCATCAATACATCTGTAGAAAAGTAAACGAATACAAGGGAAAAGAGAATATTCTTTTAGACAAATTCTTCTTCACTAGGTTCTACGGTTATATATGTATTGCATAAATGTTTTAACCCCTTCCCCTCGGTATTAATCTCTAATGGACTACCACACGTTCTTCGTAAATATAAACACGACTGTACAGCCCCTGAAGATGATTTCGTCGATAGAGAAAGTTTTCTTTGCTGAATTGTCTTTTATATTCTTCTTAATTCAATCAGAAAATAAGTTAAACACTATGTACAGCAAATAACCAAGCACTTACCTGTCTAACCAACGTATCGATCTCTCCATTGCCTCCTTCATTGTCTCCTTATCAGTTAACACGTGTACAACATGATCCAACTGCATGACAATATCTGAGCCCAGCGCATTTTGAAGATTTCCAACAGATTCCTCTGGAGTTAGAAGCATTTCAGTCCCATTATGCGGTGAGGTGAACAGAACTCCATCTTCAGTGACTTTAGACAGGCTATTTAAAGAGACCATTTGGAAACCTCCCGAGTCAGTGAGAATAGCACGCGGCCAAGACATAAATTTATGCAGTCCACCAGCCTTAAAATTAAAATATGATAGCCAAATGTCAAATATACTACATAAAGAGTAGGGTTACCAAAGGATGAACGAGACGAAAAAATAAATGGTATGATAATTACGCATTAAAAATGCCATCAGAAGAAGACAATAGATAATATGTTAGGTTACCAAAATGAAAAATATGTGAGAGTATACCTTCCTGAGGATTTCTGGTCCTGGCCGATGACCTAAGTGGTATGTATTTCCAAGTAGAATGCGACAGTCAAGTTTTTGCAATTGTTCCACTGTTATGCCTTTCATAGAACCTTGAGTACCAACTGGCATAAAAACCGGTGTTTCAACTGGACCATTTGGACAGTGTGGTAACCACAGCTGACAGCGTCGTGCTCGAGTCTGTGCACATTCATGTAAAATATCGAATTGAAGTGCTGAACTTGCTTGTACACTTAAACGTGGCAGCTGAGAATTCAGACTAGATGCCTTCAAGCGGAAAAAGTGAAAATAAATAAATGCAAATTGAACTTTCGCTAAAAAAGACAAACAAATTTTAAATAGAATAAAATTTGACTAACCTTGGCTTTAATTGTGAACAGATTTTAGAGAGAAACAGAGCTTTCTACTTAGGTTTAGATGTTGTATCATCATAAGAAGATCTACATACCTCAGTATCTTCTCAAACCCAATAAAACCCGACTTAGCAAACATTATTAATAGTTTGACGTTCAATAAATGAATACATATAGTGAGAAAAGGCGACGTCAACCACTGATAATTGTAATAGATATTACCACCTGCATTGCAGTTAACTGAAAATAAACTCATGGAAGGAACTCAGTCTTCGTGTGACCCGAAAAGCAGTTGTTTGATATAAAGGCTTCTGATTACGTTAAGTAGAAGTTTGCCTGTCGTACTGTGATGCTGTAACCATCAGTAAGTTTGATGTTAGGTCATAAAGCATACGAATAAGTTAGCTACACCAAATGTTTATGAAATTAAACTATGTCTAATCGACCATGTCTCTGTTTGAGATGTCCCAGCACAAAACAACATTAAATAGGAAAACGATTCTAAAAGTTGGTAATTTTGTCATTTGAGCTTTCATTATGGAGCGACTGACCTACTACTACTCTCTGCCGCCTGTATACAATGCTTCTTCACTTAGCTGACAAACAGAAGACAAGAAATGAATTTGCCGAGATTTTTATCGAAACAAATTAAAAACCATGGCTCCAACTTTGTGAGAAGAATTCAAAGTACGTCTAAGATGAGTATTTTTTTTTAATCTTTCACGTCCCCAGTGGGACATAGGGCTTCAAGCTAGAGGCTTGAAGTTTCCGTAGCAGTGGTGTTAATATTTTTCACAGGACGGGGTTGCTAGCCTCATGCTCAATCTTTCCTCTCTACCAGCATTATTTCTGGCTTAGCGAGGTAAAGGAGTGAGTCTGTGTCCGGGTATCGAACACCGGATCATGTGCATGGTCGGCGAGTGTCATAACTACTGTGCCACAGACGTAAATAGGCTGAGTATATAAAGCGACACTTTCAAACGATGAAAACTATTCGAGTCTCTATGCATCTGGCAATGAGTGACAAATATTCTATGAGGGTTGATGATTGATGTTAACATCCTTAAATTCGAAACAGTAATCTAGTAACCGAAAATAGATCGCCTAGACTAGTGAGCTACACATCATTATACAACAAACATCATTGCGAGATGTATACCTCCGATAGGATAGAGTTGCTAACCTCACGCCCAACCTCCCATCTTTACTAGTCTTATTACTAGCTTAGCGAAGCAAAGGAGTGTGTCGGCCGAGGATCGAACCCCGAATCACATGCGTGGTTGGCGAGCATTTTACCACTGTGCCACCAACGCAAAATGTTAGAAACAACAGTAATAAACAACAAGCAAAAACATTGATCAAGCAAACAACTAGCAATGTATAAATAAATCAGAACAAGAACTACATTAAACATAAGCGTATATTTAAGTTACACACTACAGAAATTGGTAGACGATAATAAGCAGGAAATAGAGGGAGAAACAATAGTAACATGGAAAATCAATAGGGTGTTATTCGTATAGCAGATCACAAATAGAGTTAGGGCATTTCAGCCACTGAGAACGATCTTCAGCCATACTACCAATTGTCTCCAGTAACTGGTTCTTAGCATTCTAAAGATCATGAACAGGAAGCCTGCACCTGCCTAGGTATGCGTAACACATTTTCTAGCCGTCTCAATCGACATAGCTTCGCAACCTCACCGATTGACTTTGCCTTCTTACCACCTAGGTAGTCTACGCCTAACCTCGATGCTACTCACCCTACTGCACCACCTAACATTGGAGAGAGAATACAGACAGATGTGATTAAACACAGCTGGCCTTTTCACAAAGCCCATTTTTAATGGCCATGTGTCAGTCATTAAAGAGGACGGAGTCATATGCCGCTGAGCAGTACACATGTCCTTGGGACGAGAGTTAAGCTAGAGATGACATAAGTCGGTGAATGCCAGACGAGCCTTTTGTATCTGTGCTGAGATTTCATCAGCAACCAGTTCGTTGGGACTGATACAACTCAACAAATAAGTTAAGTGGTAAACACGCTCTACCACTTCACTCCCTATCTAAAAAATCAAACCGGCCAAAATCAAATACAGTCTTATTTACGCAGAACTTCGATTTTATAACTCAGGTACAAAACATAGATCCTTTTGTTTCGTCTTTCAGAAACGTTGTGAAGGACGACAATTGTATGCTATCAACTTGTGTCATACCAAAATGTATAGAGAATAAACACGAGGATGGAGTTACTGCTGCATCGTGTTGTTAAACACAAGAATCCGAGATTTTTATAGAGATCACAATTAGTTGATACATTAAGCCATTCTGATAACTTGCTTCTCAGTTTGCCAGAAAGCGAGTAAACTATGTCGTAAGAGACAACCGCACTATGTATGCTACGTGGTCAGGTACGAAACGAATATCTACTGTGCATACAATGATTATACCAGCTTAAAGTATAACAAAGATCGAAGATCAACTAAAACAACCAAAACATTTCTACAGGAGCTCAGAAACTGTTTTTTTAAAATAAAGTCACAGTTTTTGTTAAAAGGTTGCAGATTCTGCAAGATTATTAGAGAGTAGCATTCATTAAATAGAAGGCAAAACACTTTCCCTGTATTTTACTTTTTTGACAGAAAAAAAGGAGAGCAGAAACAACACCAGTGACTATTGTTCCCAGCTATTAAATCACATGATCGATCGAAATGTATACAAGTAGTCTACCTTTACAAGCAAAGGTGGACCCAGCGCCAACATTCCCGACCTTTGTTGATAATGATAATGAGCAAGAAATTGCTCTGGAAACGCCATCAGTAAATATTACTGTGTAAAACCGTCAGCAGTAAGCATTCAGGGCCGGACAGAATCCGATGGTACATGAATTCTAAACTACTACTACTATTCACTTCTGCCTCCAGTCAGTTGAATTTAGAGTCAGTTACAACAGGAAAGTGTTATTTTCTACTTCAGAACTGCTTGAATTCCTGTTATTCATGAAATTCAGTAGTGGACAATGATTTCGAGAAAAACAAGAATAAAAAACTTGCCAACTTGTTCAAAATAAATGGTCCTCATGTGTTTTTTTAACGACTAGCTAACTGAGTTTCAACATAGAAGAAGTACAACAGTCCAAGTTGCCATAATTCCACATAGTACAAAAAGGTTGGGCGACAAGAAAAAAGGGATTCCAAAAAAACACAACTTTAGTGAGCAGAAATGTACGGGATACAGAATACTGAAATGAAAAAAGTATGAGCATTTAGCGGATATGAAGAACTACAAAGAATGAATACATCTACGCCACTGAAAACGATTGTGAGCCATAATCAACGATAGTATCCAGTTAGTGGTTCTTAGCATTCTGAAGACCCTATATCTAGGCAGTCTACACCACTCTACACAGCTTAGGTAGATAGTCAAAGATTTAATATACATGTTTGAAACTTGAGCACTGTGATAGTAAGTAATTCCACAATAGTTTGTTTATTTGATGTATCACACAGTCAGTGAAAGAGTATTATTTACTGGATGACAAGGTTTCCAACAAAATTTATTGTGGTTCATAATCATTTCATCAATTATAATCATACGACTTCGAAACTTGAGTTCTATTGTTTTCTTTGTCCTCTCCTATTTGTTGTCGTTGGGATAATAAAATGTTACAGATATCCGGATGGACAGGTGATGAATGAATCCTATTACACGAATTTGTAGATGACACATTCACAGTACTTAGAACACAGAATGAAGATGGATTTCTCGAACACATAAACTTGAAGGTAGAGGCGATTCAATTCACTTATGAATTGGAAGGTCAGGAAGGGGAGCTTCCAATATTAGAATGTAGCTCGTAAAAAGGAAAGAAGATGGGAAGTTAAACACTAGAGTTTACAGGAAACCCACACATTCAAACAGATATTTGGATTTCCGATCACCTCATCATACGTCAGTAAAGATAGGATTGATGAAATGTTTAAGTGACACAGCCCAAAAACTAAGTAGTATCAAGGAAAATCTAAGACAGGAAGTGAGGCATATAAGAGAGACTTTGAAACCTAATAATTACCCGGATTAATTAGTGAGGGAGTATGTAATGAAACGTACAAATAAAATACCATTATGGCTAAATTTTTGTTTTGATAAAGTCTCACAGTGTTATACAGTAATGTTTACTGATGACAGTTCGAGCACAATTTATTGCTCATAATCATATCAAGGTATTCACACGACTTCCTAAATACATTTATATAGTTCCATTATTTTTCACTTGATTTGATTGGTAGTAGTATTTTCCATATTTCAGGTATGAGTGACGAGTCATTCCTATTACATGTGTTTGGTGTAGACTCGATGAACACGGATTCAGTAATCAACCTCTCTCCACCTATCTAGATTACTTTTTAGAATTTTAACCCTCTCCCACAATGCCATTGTGTGGTTGTGTGTTAATGCATGCAGTGAAATGTAGTGTTGAGCTTTTTTCAGAATTACTTATCTTCTCGGGTAGGGTCAACCATTCTTACCTTAGCTAAATTCTTATGTTCCGACAATCTGACTACCCCTGACCTACTAGTCTGACCTATGTAGTTGACCTCACAGTCATTGCATGGTATTTTGTAAATTATATTATTTTGTCTAATTGGGTCAACCGACAGGGTCTTTTAACCTACAGAGCTTGTCCCTGAGTGAGTTTTTAGGTTTAAATGCCACTCTAATTCCTGCTTTATTTAGAATCCTACGTAGGGTCTCAGATGTCCTCTCCTTATATGGTATAACAGTGGATGACTTATATTCTCTCTTATTTATGTTATCATTGCTAGTTTCACAATTATTTTTATTTTCCTTTTGGCCTTTTCCAATCCTACTAATGAATTTCAAAGGATAGCTATTTAACACCAACGCCTCTTCTATCTGTTTTACTTGATCATTTAGGTCTTCTCTTGTGCTACTTGGTGCTACTGCTTCATTCGTTAGACACTTGACTAAGCCTGTCTTAACAGACAGATAACGGATGAGATGAATTTAAGTCTAAATATCTGTTAGCTGAATGCGTTGGCTTTCTTATTAAACGCTAATGTTTAGTTTACTTTCTTCTATTCGTTTTATTTTACAATCTAACATAGCTAATTCTCCTTGTTCATTTTCCGATTCAAATGTGAATTTTATTCCCTCCACTAGTGAGTTTATGTGTGTCAAGAAGCTAGAGATATGTTCTGTTTTTAACACTGTGTGTGAAAGTGTCATTCACATATTTCCACCATATTTTTGTCGTAGGATTAAATGTATTAAGAGCAACACTATTTTCCCAACTGTCCATAAATGTGTCTGCTACAATAGGGGATATTACACACAACCATATAATAGGCTGGATGGGATAAGATAACAGTTTTAAAATCTAATGTTACAGGGTGGACGGAGAGATTGATAACAGAGGCTTCGTTTATCGAATCAACTGAGAGAATCATTCAACACCTCTTCACCCAGATATCTGGAAAATTCTACTGCTGCTAGTAACCCTACGACGACAAATAGGGGTGGGGACAAAGAAAGCTATAAAATTCACGTTCCCAAGTCGAGTGATTATGATTGATGAAATGATTATGAACCATTAATTTTGTTCGAAACTGTGTCATCCAGTAAATAATAGTGTTTCACTGACTGTATGATACATCAAATAAACATAACAATATGGAGTCAAAGATTTCATTGGCTTGTACGACGTTTCCGCTAGACCACCCACCCTCCAACTCTTTTCGAATCCAGTCCTCTGTCGGCAAACATTGCCTATTGAGGAGGACGACGGCTCATAATGCGCAACACATTTCCTAGTCATCGTAGCCGATGTAGTCTCACAACCTTATCGATTGTCTTACCCTCCTCACCTAACGCACTCGACGCCTAACCTGAATATTACTCATCATAAAATACAACTTAATACATGAGATAGAGAAGGCGAACACTTGTAGTCAATGTCAACAGATGCACAGTAAAAAGACCGTAGCCTGTCTCTCCACCTGGAGACATTTCGCTTTATTTTCAAGAAAGGCAACTTAACAAAAATAAACAAGAATATATTAACACATAAAAAAACATTTACTAAATTAGTATACTTTGAAGGTATATACGACATTTTAGAAAAAGAAAATCAAATTCAAAAAGAATTTTCTGTGAAAACAAAATCATTTAGAAAAAGAAAGAACTAGGTGTATGTATTATATATATATATATATATATATATATATATATATATCACTGAGAATCATGATGGCACTGATTGCAATAAATTGTTTATCTCTAAATTAAATTTCAACAGATCCGTCACTGTGTACAAAAAATCGAATCTTCATTTGTGAACTGAAATATCATCTATAAATTCATAAAACATTAAGATTTCAAGAAAATACCTGGGGAATCTGTACACAGCAATGTTTATCCAGTCAGTCAGTCAGTGAGTGGGTTAGCAAACAGATTCAACAATACGATTACGTTTTCGACGAGTTGATTTCGGTTTCCAATATGCCTGGAATGTTCTGTTTCGTGTGGAACGTCTCAAAGAAGCATCTGACTGATCGGAAGAGATTAACTCGTTATTTGATGATACAGCTTCTGTATTGGATGGATTATTAGTATTGACAACAACTGTTTCTTGTGTAACAATAAACTTTTCACGTTTATTCGCTCTCAAACGATTTCGACGGGCTCGTTCTTCAATTGACTTGAAAAGGAAAATGTGAATAGTTAAACAGACAATAAAAAACAACAACAGCAACATGTGAAATGAAAAGAAATATGTGATATTCAAATTACAACATATGCTTCCTATGAATATAGCGATTCTTCATCACTCAATGTGGAGATGAAATTCGTTCTTTGATTGCCGACAGAGTTGGTAAATCGCTGGACAATCAGCTAACTGCCGAGATATGAACTGATGCAGCCTCATGTTGCTTCTTTTTTCTTCAGCTAGTCATTCAAATATGTGTTACGCAAGGAAGGCAATAACACACAAAATGGTCAGAATTAAATGGAATCACAACCGCTATTGTTTGTACATACATAGAGAGTTGGTGGTTCAACGATAGAATGCTCACCAAGCACCCATGTGGTGAAGGGTTCGACCCCCGGCCGACACACTCTCAAACCTCAGCCAGTAGTAAGTCCTACAAAGAGGAAAGAATTGCCGTAAGGGGAGTAACCCAACCCCATAGAGAAAAAATAACATCACTACTGTTCCAGAAACTTCAAGGTTCAACCTTCAATTTGAACAAAGCAAGAACTACAGTTTTAGCAAAATAGAATAGCTTTAAGCAGTGCCATCACCAGGCATCTCCTCGACACGGGTCATGAGGTGGACGTAGAAAAGTCGTTCAAAATTATCAATAAGCAAAATAGCTCAATTCTCCTTAAGTTTGCTGAAGCCATTTCCATCAAGCGCCTGAAACCTGATTTATGCGTCCAGAAAGAAGCGGTTATCAGCCTTTCTTTGCCCCGGTAACTGGATAATTTCACCTCTCTTTCCTCCGAATGTGAAATGCTAAAAGTTTCCATTGTGTTTGATTATTATTGTTGTTCGGAATAGTGGTTAATATTGCATATTTATATATGTATATATTTTTAGTGTATGAGTATATTGATCGACTGATTTTTGTTTAAACTTAACTCTGTGCAAGTATGTTAAAATTGTTGTTGTAGATATATTTAATAATGTCTTTGCCATGTAAGCAGCTGACGAGAAGGCAACGAAATAAAAGATGGTACCATTTTATTCGGCTAAAACTGTAGTTCTTGCTTTGTTCAAATTCATTAAGGGGAATAAATGTATGAAAGTTCAGGCTTGAAGTTGAAATTTTCCACTCGGAAGGTAATGGAATGAGAAAAAAATTATCTGTCCATCGGATTCCGAGTGGAACTTGCGGCTACAGCAGCACAACTCCGTTTCACACTGTTATGTAGGCTCATTTCTCGCTGGCTTCATGAACGCCTATAATATTTTATTTCGTCTACACATGATCCCCTTCATGTGAGGCTTAGAAACCCAAACTATCAGCCTTCATTCAGATTCCGCTCGACAACCTGCCTGGTGTGGTGCAATGTCACTGAACGGTCTCCTTAGCGTACGTATATAATTTTCATCTGCACATTCGTTGTGTAATAGGTTCTTGGTTGGTTCACTATTACAGTATCCTGTTGACAATTCCTTTCCGGGCATCTGATTTTCAGTATGAAACCAGCGAAGGCAGCTGTTCATGACAGTATGCAGCAGTCTACTAGAAATGCTGTTAGTGACGTGAATACCAAGTCTCTGGACTACATAGAAGCGATGACTTGACACTGGTGTTGAAGATACGCGTCATGTTGCTTATGCTGAGTGCTGCATATCTCCATACTGACTCCAAAGTAATCAATATAATACTCAACAAATCTATAGGATTATTTAATCCTAATTTTGTTCAGATGGAGGTGTTTTCCAACTAGGGTTTCGGATAGCAATGGTCATAGCCATAAACCCCAATTAATGGTGTTTAATTAGTTCCAACTGTTTAACTCTAAGTCTTGGGTCAAGTTTTCCATCGACCTGGAAGTATTGACGTCTTAAAAAGTGCTTGACATCAACATTTCAAACAAAAATGAACAAGGAAGTTGCATTTAAGTGTTTTCATTGTATAAATGTATAGATAACGCAGTGAAACAGAAGATAACTACTGATGAATATATATATATTTGACCGTTCTCTTATCTGTTAGAGACAGAGTACTTTTCCCACAGTTCAATACTGCATTAACAACAGAAGAATATATGTATTTGAACATTCTAGCTGCTTGATCATTAGAAAATATAACTTCGCTTCCGTGTCTTACCTTCCGCTATGACACAAGTATCTAATACACTCATAGAGGAGTTTAATAGCGGGCCTGAAAACCTCAGTGGTAGTTTCTTTGACTGCTAGTAACACTGGGTGATACAGGTTTGAATATTGAAGGGAAAATGAATTCCTTCAAGATGGTAGATTCTCAATGCTAGCGACTGCAACAAGCATAAAAACCCTGGTAAGGGGATTCCTCCTGCTTGGCCTCCAACCATCTAATGTTATATCCTAAGTGTCAACTATTTAATACAACGCACTAACCAGATTTTGGTGACATGATAAAAAAAAAGGGATTAGCCAACACATTTTACTTACCTGTTGACACATCAATTCATGATCATTAAAAAATTTCGGTTTTTGAAAGTGTTTACCACAGAATTTACAGACAAAAACTTTTGGCGGTCTATTTTTACTAAATGTTTGTTGGTCGTCTTTAGATAATAGACATTTTTCTAACTGAAGCAGGAATAAAGCTGTTTCACGTGAACTGGACACAGATGAATTAGAATTGGATTGATCTACATTATGCGATGATGATGTTGATGAAGAAGAAAAAGAAGAGATCTGACTACTACTACTGCAGATTTCATCATTTGTGCTTTTTGACAATGAAGACTTTGAGTCTGTTGTTACATTGAACAGGCTAGAATGTTTTCGAGATAAATGGACTCGTAAATGTTTAAGACTTTGGCAAATTATGATACAAAATGGACACCTGAATAATAAAGATTGTGTGGAAAAAGAGTACATTAATTTAGCGACATTAAAAAGAATACTTTTTTTTAATACAGCTTGATTCCACACCGTATTTTTTGTACTAGTATGGAATTTTCAGCATGTGATATCGGTAGCCCGAATTTCGCAGACCGACTATGGATATCAGGTGTACATCGGCAGGGCATAGAACCCCGGACCATTTGCATGGTCGGCGAGAGTCCTAACCACTGTGTCACCGACGCAAAATAACAGATATCGTAGAGGTTTACCAACAATCTAACACTTATGGTCCTCCAAAACTCCAATTATCTCGTTTGTGGACTGAAAATGATCTACATCGCCGTAGCTGCTATGCGGCCTATTGTCCGCTACTGATGGCGTGTGGATGTATGCAAGAACACCACTCCTTCTGGAGTACTCACGTCGATACTGAACAATGCTTTACTGAGCAAAAGAGGTTTGCCTTTCAATTCGGCGGTGAGCATAATACCCGTCCTAAACAAATCAACGTAAGTACACTGGTTGAACATGCTACTACGTTTAAATAGTAAACTGAACTGGACTACCAAGCCAGCCTTCCGCAAGTACACACGGACACTGGATACGCATAGAAGACGACATATAGATGGCCAGTAAGACCACTAGAAGCTAAGAACAACATCCGGGTATAAACGAATACATTTATGAAGGTTATTTGCAACTTCATGACGCCTGTCTGTCCATTCCAGAAAATAATAATAATAATGGCTTTATTCTAAACAATACTTTCGGCACAATGTAGAATATTCAGCATGCAGTACAATACTGCAGTTCAAGGTCATTTGGCTGCGATGTCTATTCTACGCGTTTGCTTATTTTATTTATTGTAAGTTCGGGAGATATGCAGCGAGGAAGTGATTCAAGAAGAACTGCGTAATCTCCGAAAAACCCTGATGGAAAACAGTTTCCCGCCCAGGTTCATAGACAAGAATCTCAAATCTAAGAAGACATCCGAACAAGTCCAATCCATTCCAAAGAAAATACTTCTGCTTAGTCTAGAATTCAAAGGTGATATTGAAGCAGAAATTCTTTGTAAACGCCTCTCCAAATCGCTGAGGAAAACATACTTCACCGTGAGCCTACGACTGACGTTTTCCTGCAAGAAAATGTTCAGTCAGAACGCGAAGGACAAGCTGTCGCATTGGGCCACCTCAACGTGCATATACCAATTTACTTGCTCTTGTGGAGCTGAGTACATCGGCCGTACCATGCGCCGACTTGAAAAACGCGCTCGTAAACACTACTCAGCCTGGCTAGTAAAAGGAGACCAAAACCGTGTATATAGTTCAGTGACAGAACATCTGGTCAATTCAGGACATTCAGCGGCTTTTGAAAAAATTCTTCAAAGTAATATACAAGATTCAATCAAACCTATCAAAGGGAGTGAAATTAAGACATCTTGGCATAGCCGAGGCACTAGCTATCCAAAAGCTCAAACCCACGCTTTGTATCTAAAAGAAATACGTCCAACTCCTGTCCCTGCCATGGCCATCATAAACAGGTATTTGTTTTTTAGTAATGACCATCCCATCGCCTTTCTTATCTAAACTTCCTGTTTATTCATGTTATTTTTAAGTTTTTCTTAATCCCTGTTTACACTATCATATTTTCATATCCGAACTTCTGTCTATTTTGTCATTTTACTATTTCTGCATATTTAATCCCTGATTGCATAAACAATTATTCATCATATAAAAGAAAAGAAGACGTTCAGCAAAGAGACTCTTTTCGGCGAATTCATTCACTGAGCTGTACAATCGCATATATATACAAATTTGTTTGTGTGTGTGTACATTAGATTTATAAAGTTTAGATAATTATGTAATGTAAGTATTATTTGGCTTGGAGACAAACGTTAAGATAGAAAATAAAATAGAATTGATTAAGTGAATTGGATTACGTAATACAGTTGAGTAGAATTCAGAGTAGGTCAGGTTGGCAACAGTGTTAATGAGTGGTGGTTAAAATTAAATAAGGGTGGGGTTAGAGAATAATACAGTTGAAAATAAGTAAGTTAATCGGATGACGTAACATAGTTGACTAGAAATTGGACGTGGGTCAAGTTAGCAACATTGTTAATGAGGGTAGAGATTACAAAAGGGTGGGGTAGAGAATAATATAAATGAAGATGTGAAATAATAAAATGATAAATAAAATGCAAAAGACAAAATAATACAATTAGTAAGACTGAAATTAAGAAAGATTACGTCCATTGTAGATTTAATGAATGAACGAATTTCTTTTGTATGCAGAGTTCAGGATTTAGCAGATGAATTGCCATTGCTTCTGCGATGTGGAGAAGTTTGATCCGTACACTTTTAGCAAGATTGCCTTGTATTCTGTAGATAACTTTGAAGTTTATTTCTGGTTTGACTTGGTGTCCAGAGTCGATCAAATGTTCAAGGATCGAGCTGCGAGGGCATCGGTTTTCTCCTTTATAAAACCATGAAGGTAAATGTTCGTTGACGCGTTTGGATAGCGAACGCTGAGTACGGCCGATATACCTGGCTCCACACGAGCAGGTGAATTGGTAGATGCACATAGATGAGGCCAACAGCGGTAGCTTATCCTTCACGTTCATACGAATCATTGGTCTCGTGGAGAACGTCAGTCGTAACTCAGCTGCAGGGAAGGTTTTCTTCAATGAGCGGGAGAGCCGATTTCTCAGTATTTCTGTAGATTGGTCTCCATTGAACTGTAGGTTCATGTAGAGGAGTCTTTTTGGAGCACTGGGTGTTGGCGGCTTCTCTGGTCTGGGTTTCATTGATTTTGTGATAAATCTTTCTGGATAGCCATTTTCAAGGAGGATTTTCTTAAGAGTGTTCATTTCGTCTTCTATGGCATCCAGGCTGCAAATTCTACGTATTCTGTGGCTTAGTGAACGGATTAAGTTTCGTTTAGTATATAGAGGTACCCAACTGTGGAAGTTAGTGAGCTGTCCGTTCCACGTTGGCTTTCTGTAGATGGATCTTTTTAATGTACCGTCTTGTTGGCGTCTCGTTAGTTGAACGTCAAGAAAAGATATCTTTGAGTTAGACTCTTTCTCTAGTGTGAACTGAATCGCAGGGTGGCAGTTGTTGAAGAACTTCAGGATATCTTCTAAATTATCTTCGTTGTTGCAGATGATGAAGGTGTCGTCGACGTATCTCTTGTAGAGTTCAAAGTTGTCAATCATATTCTTTAGGCAAGTGTTTTCGAGTTTCGACATGAAGAAATCCGCAAGCAGAGGGCCTAGTGGTGAGCCCATAGCTATGCCGTCCTTTTGACGATATATTTCATTGTTAAAGGAGAACTGGACGTTTAGGGTGCATCTCAGCAGAAGTTCTTTTAGGTAGTCGGTGGGTATGCCGATGTTTACTCCTTCTGAGTGGATGAGCTCGCATATGTGACAAATTGTTTCAGTTAGTGGAACATTTGTAAACAATGAGACAACATCTAGTGAGATCATCGTTTGATTAGAAACATTGACGTTTTCGACGCAGTTGACGAATTCAAATGAATCTCGCACTGAGTGACGGGAGACTTGTTTTCTGATTGGTTCAAGTAAGTCTGCTAGCCATTGGGCAGTGCGGTGGTAAGGTGAATTAGTCATGTCGAGGATCGGTCGAAGTGGAGTGCCCATCTTGTGTACTTTAGGAAGTCCGTAGAGTCTTGGTATATTTGAACCAGATGGTCTCAGGGATTCAAACGTTTCGTTGGTAATGAATGATTCGTTCTTTAGTTTACGGAGGATGTCTGTTAGTTTTTGTTCAATCTGCTCCGTCATGTTTTTCTCGTTGGCCGGTTTGGTGAATTTAGATTCATCAGATAGAATGGTCAACATTTTACTGATATAATCCTTACGGTTCATGATTACGATTCCTCCACCTTTATCAGGACGTATCAGCATAATCTCTTCATTGTTCATCAATTCTTTCAGCTCTTTGTAGTGTTTCTTCGTTAGTACGGATCTTCCGTTTGGATTGCCATTTATAAATTTGTGGCAACAGTCGAGGACAGTTGATTTGAATTGTTGTAGGTTCTCATCGGACGTTGGTATCAAGTCATAGGTTTGATTAATCAGGTTTTCAAATTGAACCAGGCATTGAAGCTTGTGAACACTTCGTGGTTTTTGCAGAATTTCGGACCAAGAGATAACACCTCTAGTTGAGTTGTGGATAGTGTGATGTTTGAGAGGTTGAATACATACTTTTCTGGAATGCTTGGGAACGGACGTTCGGTGTTAACTGAAGGCTTTAGGCTCTTGAGGAGGTCAGATTTGATGTTGTCGCATTGTTTCTCTGTGACTTCTTTTACATATTCTTCGAAGGGTTGACGTAGTTCTGCATCTAAGTCTTCAACTACATGAGCGCGTGTGTAGACATTTCGTTCTAGCTCAGGAATGCGTGATTGAATGGAATCGATGTTGTTTAGCGTGTGTCGTCTCAGCGTTCTGGTGTTCGGATGAATGTGGTTGCGTCTGAGTGATTTCCAGTACATCTTTGGTTATTCATGTTGATCTACACACTCTCTTAAGAAGTTCACCTTAGTCTTCGCTACCGCAAGTTTGACGGAGTAACGTAGGAAACCATCCAGCTCCTTCATCACATTAGTTTTTCATCCAAACATCCTGTCTATTTTTGTTACTTCTACATTTCAAACCCCTAATTGCACAATGTCAATCTTTTAGTTATTATGATGCCACTTTGTTTGTTTTATCCGTCCCCCTGTTTATTATGGCATTCTAATTCCTAATTTTAATTTTTATTAATTTGACCCTTAACCGGAAATTATTCTGGAACTTGCCCATCCATTTGATAGAAATACATGAATGTACAGCCTAGATGATGACTTCGTTGAAAAAAAAAATTTTCTTCGCTGCAACTGTCTTCTTAATAACTCCTATGACCCAGTGTGTATATTCCGTTATTGTAAATTATCAATAACAATAACTGACTTACTTGTATCCAAAGCTCGAGTCACTCGTTTTAAGAGCTTGTAAAGGCAACAGATTGAATTTTGAGTCCATAACATTAACACTACGCGAACATTCAGTTGATAGTTTCGAGGTCAGCTCTTCATTTTGTGAATGAGTAGTTGTATATTGCCAAGTAGATTTAGGTTGAGTTAGTCGCAATTTCCGCTTTTTCCGTTTTGGATGAAAAGAGAGTGTAGGACAACCAGAGTTTGATCCATTGCGTCGAGGTAACAAATGTCGAACAAGATGTCCAAAGTCTTCATTAATTATAAACAAACAAAAACGGGTATTATCACCTTTTTGTTGGAAATGACAATAACGAAAAGCCTACGTCTCAAAGGAACAAGTACTATCAATAATGTCATTTCCAGACATCTCCTAGAGGTGGAGATCACAAATTCCTTTAAAATTATGAATAGACAAAAAAGGTGAATTCTCCTCAAGTTTGCCGAAGTAACTGCCGTCAAATGCCTGAAAGCCGATTTCCGGTGTTCAGAAAGAACCAGTTATCAGCCTTTACCTGTCCTGGTAACTGGATTTCCCTACTCTTCTCTTCATTTGGTTACACAATCTCTGGGTTTAACCTCACCCTCCTTGGATATAAAGTAGTTTTGCTTGTCTCTGGTTTCTATGATTTCCGTTTAACTCAGAACCGAATTCGTTAGTTACTCATCATCTTACTTATCTCTCGTCTTTATTACGCAACCCCTTTACCATTATGTACAAACATTTATTTCTGCTTAAACTTGAAGTCTCTGGGTAAAACTCTGAAAAAATAATTTTGTCAGTACTGTTTATTAAATCTAGAGCCTGCCGTCAGCTGACATCATGTAACATTTGCAAGTATGGCAAAATTTTTTTATTTCTTTACGTTCCCAGTGGAACACAGGACTTCATGATAGAGGTTTGATGAGAAGTCGACGAAATAAACAATGGTGCAACCGTATTATTCTGCACAAACCACTTTTGTTCTTGCTTTATTCAAAAATGACAAAATTACCTATTCTGGTAGTAACACTTCGAAAGTATTAAGCAGACCTACATTACTTCATTTAGGCTGAAGCTATATACCAGCAATTATCTATTTCTTTTAAACGTACTCACTTAAAAAAGTTTTAGCTTACAATTGTTTTGGAAATTGAGACCTTACAACAAATAGTATGTGAACAGCTCATTGAGAATGGAAGAGCTCTCCATCAAATATCACTTTGCTTATGAAAAGCGAAGTCTATTGGAATCTTTGACAAAGAAACCAGGTTGTAAAGGATGAATGATAAGCGAAACAACCTTCGAGAAAAACAGCGCCTTAATTACATCCTAGGATAGACGAGTAAAACGTTGGAGGGGGCATTCTGAAGGGTTATTTAACTGGTGGTCTACAGCTATGCCTATTTGCCCAGTATCCAGCATCTACCTATGTGAGATGTTAACATCAGTCCTTCAACTGTAAGTGAAGCTGCAAAAGCCGTTTCTAATATAAAACGAGGGGCAGCAACCCAACCTGATGGAATGACTCCAGAGACGCTTGTGGAGAGCGGTAATGAACTGTCGCTTGAGTTAACTAGATAATGTCTGGGAATCAGAGATAGTTCCGTTGGTCTGGTGTAAATCATTACTTATCCCAGTATATAAGAAAAAGACAAGTCTTCCTGTGATAATCAGACGGGAAATAGCTTGACTAATATAATATTTAAAGTTTTATGTTAGATAATTGTGTATAGACTCACTGGTGCTCGGGAGAAACAAACCTAGGAAAACTAGGCAGACTTTAGATCAGAATGATAGTACATTTATCATTTCTTCACTCTCTGACAGACTCTGGAATATAGGAAGACTTACCGGTGCCCAACAGTTACCATATTTTCTATAGTTTGGTTACGTTTTTTTTACGAGTTGATCACGGATTGATTACTTGACCTGAAGACAGGATTTCACTCCGTCGACTGGGAGCTACTGTGGGAATGCCTGACGGTGGAGGGAGCAACAGGTAAGCATAACACGCTAATCAGGGCACTCACTCTGCTGGAACTCACATATCTATCTATCTAAGAGCTTATGGAGATTTGTCATCTGGAGTAATGACAACCAGTGGTGTCTGTCTGGGATGCCAACTGTTCTTATCTCTGTTTAATTTCGTCATACATGTTCTAAAATGATCGACCCTGACTTTAATGACTTATAGACAGACTTATTACCAGGGAATAGTCCTGTCGACTTAGAAAATGCAGATTAAGACGCTAATAAAATGCAGTTTCCTGAACATCTTGAGCACAAACCTTCGAATATTTGATATGCGATTCTCTCCTGTCGAATATAAGATGATACTGCAGGACTCGATTACACCGACACCTAGCTTAGAGATAGGGATAGAAATGATGGAGGACGGTGACTACTGTACTTACTTGAAAAGTTGTATCTGTCTGTCTGTCTGTCTGACTGTTTTCGACATAGAACTATGCACAAATGTGCGGAAGTTCAAGTCGCCACACTCCGTGTATCACGCGAAGCAAGAGAAGAAAGTACAAGAAAAGCATAATAGAAACAGTGAGCAGAGGTGTGAGACAAAAAAGTAATAAAGAAAAACAAAACAGTTTCATTGGAGTTCATAAGTCACAAGGAGTGGATGCATCTGCGCTAGCCACTGAGAACGATTTTGAGCCATGTCGCCAATTGTTTTCAACCACTGATCTTTTTTTGTATCAGCCCCAACAGATTGACTACTTAACACGGAAACAATAGGTTCATGTGCCATTTGCCAAATTACGTAATCTCCGGTGCAGACATGGCATCCGGATATCTATCGAAAGACGTGTATACTGGATAGCAGTTCGCTCTGTCCTTATTTATGTATGTTAGAGATGTCCGCTGAAAGTGGAAGGCACGAAAAGACTAGCTGTCTTCGATTATATTTGTATGGGTTCTATCTCCTATTTTAGGTGATATAACAGGGTGAGTAATATTGAGGTTAGGCATAAAGTATTAGGTAACGAGAGTAAGTCAATATATGGGGTTCTGAAGCTACACTGATTGAGATGGCTGAGAGAAGTTTTGCGCATACCGATCCACCTCCTTCATCAACGAGCAATCACTCCTTCTGGGACACGTGAGTAGACTCCGATCACACCCCCGTTCGCGCACGTGTATGCGAACGTCTAAACGGACATAAAACATTGTTGGCAGCAAAGCAGTTACGTCCCCAACTAGATCGAGACATTGAGTCCCTAATTAAGGAATAAATAGTGAAACGACTATCTGAGATCGACAACTGGACTCTTCCAGAGGAAGCCTGGCACAACGTAGGATCAAGTTGGAAAAGAGCCAGCGGTGGTCAAACCAAAACATGGAGTCATCAGTCAATGAAATCCACAACAGTTAGTTTAAGCCAGTCCCGTAGAGAGGTATAGACTGTCTGCCTACCTGGTTGGGGTCCCCAGGATGCTAAGAACCGATGACGGCTGGAGACAACTGATAAGGCTCAAAATCGTTCTCGGTGATGGTGCAGCTGCATCCACTCTTTGTGACTTATGATCAGGTTGGAAAGGAGTTTGGAATGATCAAATAAAGACACAGCACGAATGCACGAAGTCTCTGACGAGTGGTTTGGGTCAGCCACATAGGAGGGTGTAGACTGCTTAGTTGGAGTCCTCGGGATACTGAGAATCAATGGATGGAAACTAATGGTGACATGGCTCAAAATCATTCTCAGTGTCGGAGGTGCATTCACTCTTTGTGATCCATTATATCCATTGCACCTACGTTACTGTTCTTTCTCCCTTAAATCTTCACTCAATACAACTTTTCGGATTACTTATCCCCTATTTCCTTTATCTTTGTCTGCCGCATAGAGTGTAGCGACTTGGACACTGGCACACTGATAACGAGAAGTCCAGTGCTGAAACTCAGTCTGTCAGTTATGATATTTTTAAATGCATAATCTACAGAAACATCGTGAAAAGCAATTAGGAAAGAGACATTTTTTATGGGGACTGCAAAAGAAGAATATGGATTCTGGTTCCCAACATACCATCTAGTCAAATACACTACAAAATCTACTGGGTAAGAGGCTCCTGATTCTAATCCAATTACCAACTCCTATAGGAGAAGTATGCATACATTCAGATAAAATCATTACAAACGAATTCCCAATTCCAGCCACGTCAGTTTAGAATCGAGTGGTTAAAGTGTTGTTGCATTTAGGAGTTTATATCAAGTTAATCTGTCATCATTTTATGCTGAATAAGTAAAAATCAGAATCGGAAAGGCAATATACGCACGCCTTCATCAACCTGAAACCAGTTTGGAAGTCTTCTCCACTTCGCCTCGGTAGCAAAAACAACAAGATATGGATCTTCAACGCAAATGTCAGTGAAGTCAGTCAGTCAGTCCTTCTATACGCGGAAGAAACTTCCACGGCGTGTCACGAAAAACATCTCAAAAACAGGCTAGTGCAGACTTTTATCAACAGCTGTCTTTGCTGGCTCTAGACTGAAGATCAAATAACCCGCCGACCAGAAAGAATTAGTAACAGGAAACTCTGACTTCGAACAAACCAACAGGCAAGAGGCGATCGCTCAACAAATGTGTATGAGAAAATGGAGATGGATAAAGCAGACGTTGAGGAGACCACCGAATGACATTGGGCGCAATGCAGGCTATACAGATCGAGTGGAATCCCAATGTGAAGCGATGAGTGGGTCGTCACGTCGAGGGTGACATGAAGAAAATGTGAGATTATGGGGAATTGTGGACCCAGGTGAAGAGGACAACAGAGAATAGAAGAAGGATGTGCTGTTGAAGCCCTATGTTCCGACTGGAACCCAAGGGAATAATAATAATAAGTAATAATATGCACAATAATATCAATTAAACGTGATAATTTCAGGAGTTCTGATTACGTAAATGAACTTCCAAATAAAAAGAACAAAAAAAAAATAATCAAATTACCTGAGTATTTTTGACCGCAAGTTTCACATGAAAGTCCGTCTTCTTTGTAGAATTGATGTTTTTCTACTAAATGATTTAACAAATTATTTGGTGATGCAAAGGATGATTCGCATCCATTAAATACACACGAGTATACCTACGCACAAAGAATTCATTGATAAAGAATAGTCTGTTTTTAAAAATAATCATAAGAATATTGATATTATTATGTGTACAGTTGTTTAATAACAATGAAGAGAGAATTTCTGAAAACGCATGAAATACTACAGACACCTACTGTCTACTGAAAATCGAAACCAATATGCATGTTTGTGTAGTAGACGATAAAGCATGTGCATTCTCTGGAAACGTCTAAAGCTAAAGGTAGAGTTCAGATGCGTCTGAATACATCAGTGCTAACACCTGTGACTGCAGCACTGAGTGAGGTCTGTCTATTTTCGACATAGAACTTTGCACAAATGTGCAGCAGTTCATGTCGCCACACTCCATGTACCACACAAAGCAAGAGAAGAAAGTAGAAGGAATGCATAATAGAGAAAGTAATCAGGGATATGAGACAAAAGGAATAGTAATGACGAAGAACAATATAGTTTCCTGGGTATTATCAGTCACAAGGAGTGGATGCATCTGCGCTAGCCACTGAGAACGATTTTGAGCCATATCACCAATTATTTCCAACCATTGGTTTTTATCGTCCCTAGGATCTCAACCAGGAACTCCACACCTTCATACGTGACTGGCTTAAACTAACTGTTATAGATTTCCCGACCGAAAGCTGCTACCTTGACGTGGTGGTCGGGCTTGAACACCGCAATGATCTAATCAAGCTATACTGGCTGAGACTTATGTCTCTTGAGGTCTACCATGCCAGGCAGGTTGTTTGGATAGCGGTTAAACAAAAAGCAGCTACCCAATCCAACATCATGTCCAATACAAAATCACAAAATTTCATGCCGGATCGGCCGTGGCCCGGATTAACAACGACCGCGCTTCCTGCTGCCGTGTCACAGGGCAGGAGTGATAAATCTGCTACTGAGACACACCAAACAAAAAGAACGAACAAAAACAGGCCGCGTGTGACCGGCCTCAAGCAGTTGTCCCCTGGGCTCTGCGGTCACGCAACCAACTTCCACGGTGTGGGCAGCCGGGAAGTAACAATCGCCCTCACAATCCGAAATGCACACGAAACCTCTCTATTACTCACTCATCTTTGTCTTCATCTTCATCTCTATCATCTTGCCTTCCTTCCACTGATGCAACTCCTCGACTTGATAGCTCTCCACTTCCTCTCCACTCTGCGTCCACTAAAAACGATGGAAGCCAAAAAACCACCACCGACAGCCTCTTAAAGCCGCGCCACCAATTTCATATAGGAGCTCTTAATGTTAGGACACTTTGCCAAATAGGACAACAAGCATCACTAGCCAAGACCCTGGCATCACGAGCCATTGATGTATGCTGTGTTTCAGAAACACGCATACAAGACCCAAGTGTGGTTATTCACCTAACCCCACCTGGCCAACAGGTTGAATCTGCAAAATTCACCTTGAGGGTGTCAGGAGATGCCACAGCTAGTTCACGAGGATTAGCTGGCGTAGGGATAGCTTTGAGTACTAGGGCAGAAAAGACATTGCTTGACTGGATCCCGGTAGATAGCCGAATGTGTGCTGTCCGCCTGAACGGATCAGTAAGAAGGAGGAAGGACTGCACTACTCGCCGATGCCTTTTCGTAATCTCCGCCTACGCCCCCACTGACTGCAGTTCAGATGAAACGAAGGATGAGTTCTACCAAAAGCTGTCTAGTTTGGTGGAAAGGCTAAACGCTCAGACATAGTCGTTCTAGCTGGTGACTTTAACGCTCAAGTAGGGAAATTGTGTCAATCTGAGAAGGATGTCGGTGGCACCTATGGAGTTCCGTGCCAGCGAACCGACAACGGTGACCGTCTCCTACAGTTCTGCTCTGATAATCATTTGTTTCTTGTAAGCACTAACTTCAAACACAAGGAGAGACACTGTTTGACTTGGAGACCCCCTTCATCAAACCAACGCTGGACACAAATAGACCACATAGCAATAAGCTATCGTTGGCGTGGGTCGGTAGGAGATTGTCGCTCCTTCTGGAACACGTGCGTAGATACCGACCATGCACTGGTCCGCGCTCGGGTGTGCTTACGACTGAACGGACGTAGGAAACAGCTGGCGGTAAAACCATCACGTCCCCAGCTCGATCAGGAAACTAAATCCGTATTTGAGGAAGAACTAGCTAAACACATATCTGTGTTCGACAGCTGTGCTCACCCTGAAGAAGCTTGGAAAAATATCCAGGCAGCCATAGATACAGCTGTAAAAGCTGTGAATAAGGTAAACCCAAAGGTGAGTAAAAACCACTGGATCTCCACCGCCTCATCCGAACTGATAGATGCTAGAAGACTTATTCCGGCGAGCTCCGAATTCAATGAGGAGCGAAAGCTGCACAAGAGGAAACTTACGAAAAGTCTCCGCAAGGACCGTGAACAGTGGTGGGCGACAAAAGCCAAAGAGATGGAGAAAGCTTCGAGGATAGGCAACACCAGGCAACTCTTTGGACTCATCAGGGAAACGGGTGGGAGAAGACAAATCATCAGTGAGACAATCTCGGAAAAAAATGGCACTATAATTAGCTCCCAGGATAGACGACTGGATCGTTGGAAAGAGCATTATGAGGAGCAGTTTAATTTGCCCACAGCCACGCTCAACCTTCCGAGCATCCAACACCTCCCTGAATGGGATATAGACACAGGTCCTCCGTCACTAACTGAGGTTACTAAAGCTGTCACCAATCTGAAACTAGGCAAAGCAGCGGGACCTGATGGAATGACTCCAGAGGTATTTAAGTACGGTGGAGACAGCTTACTGTCCGGATTAACTGAGGTACTAGGCAGCGTCTGGGAATCAGAAGAAGTCCCATCGGGTTGGTGTAAGTCACTGATTATCCCCATATACAAGAAGGGAGACAAGTCTTCCTGTGATAATCACAGAGGGATTAGCTTGACTAATATAGTATCTAAAGTCTTAGGCTCAATAATCATGCGTAGACTGAGTGGTGCTCGGGAAGCACAAACACGAGAGAGCCAGGCAGGCTTTAGACCAGGAAGAGGGTGTATTGATCATATCTTCACCCTCCGACAGATTCTAGAACATAGGCATTCCTACCGGCGTCCAACAGTCATTATATTTCTTGACCTAAAGGCAGCATTCGACTCTGTCGATCGGGAAGTTCTCTGGAGATGCTTGGCTGTAAAGGGAATTCCGAGAAAATATATTGCACTGATTAAGGCACTCTACTCGTACTCATACAGCCAGGTGAGGGCTTACGGCGAGCTGTCATCTGAACTGATGACGACCAGTGGTGTCCGTCAAGGATGCCCATTATCTCCTTTTCTATTCAACTTCATCATAGATGTGTTAATGGACTTAACCCTAGGTGACTTCAGCGACTCAGGGATTGACTTGCTACCAGGGAATAATCTCGTTGACTTGGAATATGCAGACGATATAGTCCTTCTAGGCGAAGACGCTGACGAAATGCAGAGTCTTCTAAACACCTTTAGAGGCAATCTACGAATGTTTGGCATGCGATTCGCTCCCGCCAAATGCAAGATGATGTTACAGGACTGGACTACATCGACGCCTAGTTTAAAAATAGGAAGTGAAGTGGTAGAGCACGTTGACCGCTTCACTTATTTGGGAAGTACCATCAGCCAGTGCCAACGGGCTGATCTCTGACGAAATCTCAGCACGAATACAAGGGGCTCGTTTCGCATTTGTTAGTTTACGCCGACTCTGGCGTAGACGAGATGTTCGACTATCGACCAAAGGGCGGGTGTACTGCTCATCAGTCCGCTCCGTCCTCCTTTATGGTTGTGAGACCTGGCCACTGAGAGTGGAAGACATGAAAAGACTAGCTGTCTTTGATCATAGGTGCCTGCCCTCTATTTCCCGTGTAAAGTGGCATAATAAGGTGAGCAACATTGAGGTTAGGCGTAGAGTTCTAGGTAAACAGGGGAAATCAATCGACGAAGTCGTGAAGCTACAAAGACTGAGATGGTTAGGACATGTGTTACGTATGCCAAGCCATCGCCTCCCTCGACGAGCAATGTTAGCGGATATAGGGTCAGGCTGGAAAAAAGCTAGCGGCGGTCAAACAAAAACTTGGCATCAGTCAATGAAATCCACAACAGTTGGTCTAAGCCACGTAGGAAGGTGTAGACTTCCAGGCTGGGGTCCTCGGGACGGTAAAAATCTATGGTTGGAAACAATTGGTGACATGGCTCAAAATCGTTCTCAGTGGCGCAGATGCATCCACTCCCTGTGACTTATGATCTTCAATGAAACTGTTTTGTATTTCTTTATTACTCCTTTGTCTCACCCCTCTGCTCACTGTCTCTATTATGCTTTTCTTGTACTTTCTTCTCTTGCTTCGCGTGCTACACGGAGTGTGGCGACTTGACCTGGTGCACATTTGTGCAAAGTTCTATGTCGAAAACAGATAGACAGACAGACAGTTGTAGATTTCATTGACTGATGAGGCCATGTTATGGTTTGACCGCCACTAACTCCTTTCCAGCCTGACCAACCCTATGTCAGCTAACATTGACCGTAGTCGAGGAAGGCGATGACCAGGCATACGTAACACATGTCCTAACCATCTCAGTCGATGTAATTTCACAGCCTCGTTATTTTGATTTGCCCTCCTTACCTAGCATTAGATCAATGTCTAACCTCAATATTGCTCACTTGATTACACCACTTCACACGGGAGATAGAGTGCAGGCACCTATGATCGAAGACAGCTAATCTTTTCATGTCCTCCACTCTCAATGGCCAGGTCTCACAGCCAGAGGATTGATGAGCACTACAACCGCCCTACGGTCGACAGCCAGCCGGATATCACGTCTACGCCAGAGACGGCATAAACTGGCAAATGCGAGACGAGCCCCCTGTATTCGTGCTGAGATTTCGTCAGAGATCAGCCCGTTGGCACTGGCTGATGGTACTTCCCAAATAAGTGAAGCGGTCAACGTGCTCTACCACTTTACTCCCTATTTCTAATCTAGGAGCCGGTGTAGTCCAGTCCTGTAACATCATCTTGCATTTGACAGCACGATCGAATCGCATGTCAAACATGCACAGATTGCAACTCAAGGTGTTCAGAAGACTGCATTTTGTCAGTGTCCTCATCTGGGAAGGAGGACTATATCAGCTGCATATTCCAAGTCAACGAGATTATTCCCTGGTGGTAACAAGTCAATCCCTGGGTCTCTGAAGTCAGTTAGTGTTAAGTCCATGAGTACATCTATGATGAAATTGAATAGAAATGGGGATAATGGGCATCCTTGACGGACACCACTAGTCGTCATCACTTCAGATGGATTCGGACCTCAGAGATGATATGACTTCCTTCAAGACTAAAGAAACGTCTTGCTAATGAGTGCCAATTAGAATGACATCTACGTACATGGCTTGCTGCCGATTACCTCCAAATATATAACACACATTCTGGACCAGCAGTCCAGTGGATACATCTTGGACGTAAGGCTAGCAGCCTCACCTGTATACACAAAAACGCCATTCCCACTGGAACTTTAAAGCTGATGCCTGAAGCCAAATATTCCACTCGAAGGACAAAAGAATGAAGGTGGACGGGAAATCAATTTTACTTAGCATCACTTATATTTCCTGTACTTTAGGATAAATTGAAAATATGTGACAACAGATTCATCGGGAACAAAAAACATAGCGGGATAGTATACCCAACTGATAAAGTAACACATGAATTACCAAACGAAATGAATATTACCTGTTTATCTTTATGATGTACCATGTGCACACGAAGTTGCAGGTATGAATCGAATCGCTGGTCACAAAATCGACAAATCCATACTTTATGAGGTAGTGCGCGTGGCGCAGACGGATTGTTAGTCACCTAGTTGAAGTACATTATTGATGAAAAAGAAGTCATACAGGGGAAAATTTAACACAATGTGAGTGACAGCAGTAATTAGGAACTTTCCGCAAAAAATGATTTCACAAACAAACTGAAAAGTTCGTATTGAATTCAGACAAACCTATTAACACCTTGCGAGGTAATCCTGTTACTCCTTAAATCAATTATAAATTTAAATGAAGTTTTACAAGAATATTACTAAAATTAATTTCTGGGAGAGCTATTATAAAAAAATTAACTATTACCGTTTTCTTATTATTATTTATTTCCTTTAATTCCTAGAGGAACATACGGCTTCAGCTGCGCACCTCCATTGACTTCGGTTTTCTGCCAACTTTTTCACCACGCTCCAAGCCTGCCCACATGCTTTCATCTCCTCCTCACATGACCACCTCCAAGTTACACTTGCACTGACGACCAACTCGCCGCCCGCTTCCCTTTCGAGTTCCACTCGAGCAATGGCTTGTCTAGTGATGTCACTTGATGGTTTCCTCAGCGTATGGCCATCCAATCCATCTCCATTTCTTCCTGCCTATTTGTTTCACAATCGGTTCCTGGTTGGTTCGCTCATTCCCAGAGATCCCTGTTGCTGATCTTTTCTGGCCATCTGATCTTGAGTATTGGGCGAAGATAACCGTTATTGAAGGTGTGAAGTTTGTTTAAGATGCTCTTTATGACGCGGCAAATCTGTGATCCGTATAGTAGCACTGACTGACTTTACATTGGAGTTGAAGATCCGGATCTTGTTCTTGATGGTGAGTGCTGTTGACCTCCACACAGACTTGAGAGTAATGAAAGCTTGTCTTGCTTTTCCGATTCTGGCTTTGACGTCCCCGTCAGTTCCGCCTGTAGTTGAGACGATGCTTCCCAGGTAGGTGAAGGAGGTTGTTTCTTTCAGGTTCCTCCCATTTACGCTGGCTGATTGTTGTCTGTTGTTGTTGTTGCTGTTGGTGTTGGCCAGGAATCTTCAACACCTCTGTTTTCTCTATATTTACTTGGAGTCCTATCTTCTTTGGATGCTTCTTCTGCCAGCTTTTTGCTTTTCACTTGAATATCTTCCAGTTTGTGGGAAATCAAACATATATCATCGGCGAAGTCCAGATCTTCCGAGTTTTTTGTGTGGGTTCATTTTATGCCTGTTTCCTCATTGCCAGCCGCTGTCTGTCGCATTATTCAATCTAATGCAATCAGGAAGATCATTGGCTCTTTTAAGCAGAGAATTCTAATGCACCAATCACTGTGCCAATAACTCTGTTTCGCTGAATGACGCCAAATGAATGGTCTCGAAGATGCAATAATTAAAAGAATTGAAGCTTCCAATAAACCCAGTGGTTTTCCAGATTGATATATTTTCATGGTGCATAAATTATACTCACAGTTAGGCATTGAAACAGAAAACTCCTCCATTTCAAGACATGTTCACTGATGAAGTAAGAGCTGTATATTTGCGGACAATAATCACTAAACTATTTGAATCACTAACCACTATTTTTACATGTGAGAGGCCAAAAAGCAGAACAGTGCGTAGGTGGTAGGACACATAAGTGGTCTGCGGTTTGATTCCCGGCAGACACACACTTTTAAGCCTCACTAAGTTGGTGGTAAATTGGGTAAAGAGGGAGGGTTGAGCGTGAAGCCAGCAAACCCACTCCGCGGAAAGAAACACCATTGCTACTGAAACGTCAGAGCTCAAGTTCGAAGCCTTACTTTCTATTCAATACAAAGCAATAAAATTAAAATAAAAAGCAAAATATGAAGGTCTGATTTAATAGGTATCAACAGAGCATATGGTTAAAAAATGTGAAATGAATATTGTACATGTACTTCGGCACTTTTCAGATTTACCTGTGAATTGTGAGATGTTTTGGATATGAGAGAAACTGTACACGAAGATGCTGGAGGCCAAGCCTTGTGACTTGAAAGATGTCGACGAAGGTTTGAAGCTTGAGTAAATTTACGTCCACAGAGTACACATTTGAAGGGACGTTCACCAGTGTGAGTACGCAAGTGTTCTACCAAATGGCTTTGACGCTGGAAAGCTAATGGACAGTGGCTACAATTCCATTTTAACTTTTCGGATATTTTGTTATCTTTTGGCTGAATGACAGGCGTATCCACAGGTATGCAGTTATTGGATACATTTTCAGCATTTTGATATTCTGCATCATGAGGCAGTGCTTCATGGCCCGTATTATTACACGCGTATACCACAGTTGGTGAATACACATCAGAAACAGTGTGTAACTGCTGCTCTCCGTCAGTTATAATACTTGCCTAAAAATACGAATAAAGTACTACAATGGAAACACTTAAAGTCCACTAACAAACTATGAAGTTTTGTGGAAGTGCTTACGACACATAAAAAAGCAAAAAATATACAAGAACACAAGACTTGACATAATTGACTGAGTTTCAGCATAGAACTTTACACAGACATACATCAGTCCAAGTCGCCAAACTGTGTGTAAAAGTTCAAAAAAACTATAATGGACAGAAATATGCAGGAGAAAAGAAAGTAGCATGAAAAAAGATGAGGACTGGGTGGATCTGAGAGAATGCATCACCGCCATTGAGAACGGTTTTGGGACATCTCAACAACGGGCTTAAACCTTCCGTCATCGAAATCCCAATGATCCCGAACCAGTCAGACGAACTACACCTTTCTACATGTTGGAACCAATAATCAAAGAATCTAGGGGCTGTCAAGTTATGTTTGGCCACTCCTAACTCTTTTTAAAATCTAATCGTATGTCAGTTAACACAGCTCAACGAGGATGGGGATAGCTCGCTATTTGAGACACGTGTCCTAATCGCCACAATCGATATAGTTTCACAACCTTATCGATCGACTTACCCTCCTTACCTGATACTCTACGCTTAACCTCACTACTGCCCACCATAATATATCCACTTAACATGGGATACAGGTGATGAGCCGCTCCATATCTTCCTCTTTTAGAGGCCACATCTCACGGTCATAAATCAGGATGAAGTGAACTGCTGAGCAGTACAAGCATCCTAGGATCGATAGCCGGATATCACCAAGAGCTGATATTACAAAACATATTTGCTGCTAAAATCTTTCAAACACTGGGAACATCATTTTATCTTTTTAATTCTAAAAAAGTGTAAACTGTGACATGTGAACTCAAAATTGTAGTACGGGTTTAACACTACTTTTAATGAGTAAAAATGCGTGGTGAGACTGTGTCTGGGATAATTTCCGACTGGTAGACTGCTAATGATCTAATACGTAGTAGTCTAAGGTGTAGTGCAAGTCTGCTTTATTCGAAGATTGGAAACGTCGTGCTAGTAGCCTGAAGGTTGCAAACTCAACTCATTCCATCGTCTAGATTTTCGTTTCATCTTCAAACATAGTCTATCACATAAATAAATACTAACCAGCGGAAGAAAAACACGAGGCAGCACCACAATCTCACTGAAGTGGAAAATTAAATTCGTGACTTCCTGCTACCTACCATCAACCCATTCTTCCTGAAGAAATGAAATTGTACAGTTTGGCCTAATGTTGAACAGTAAATGTAATAAATTGCATTTGAATACAAAAATAATAACAGAAATCAGCATAAATATAAGTAGAAAGTTGATAAATTTTGTCATCCAACTCTCATTTTGTTGCTCCTTGCTTAAAAACAATACAGTTATGCAGGAAGATCAAGAGAAAATGTCCAGATATGCCCAAAACACTTATTCCTTTAGGGAGATGAATAACCTGCGGTCCCCCAAACACATATCTTAGACGTCATGCAGGCTCAAATTACAAAATTTACACTTTCGCCCCAAGATTCAAATCAAAAAACTGATGGAATGACTTTGAATTACCACTTCAAGTCTTCGGTACCACTCTCGATCCTGTTATTTGTCATTTACATGACCTATAGCTTCCTAAGTTACACTCCAGTCATTCTAGCAGATAATTATACTTCGTTGATTGATGTACTTTATCTACTAAACATTTACTCACCAAAAACCATAATATCAAAACTAAAGCTTTAAGCACGCTAGTAAACAATATACATGATCCATAACACTCTTATAACTCCTTAGCTACGCATAATGTGACAATGTTTATTTATTTCCAAGGCAAAATTTCAACAGATAAAACACCGAAGCAAGGAAAATATATTTTATGCATCTCAATTTTATAAGGATTTCGTTTTGTCACGCTTCTTAAGCAATAAGAATATACAATCAGTATATTTCCAAAGGTGGAAGTGTGTTCACCAATAACTAATATAAGTTTATACATCTGAAGAGAATCACTGCAAACAGCTCCCTGTGTAACAATGAAGAATCATCAGTAATGCAATAAGCTTTGAGGGTTTGGTGACTGATTCATCTGCCTTGTTTGAAAGCTTACTAACGTCATAGAAAGCATGGCATCTTTGAACCTGATGACTTTAATCAGTAAATATTTTCGTTATATTTTATACTTCCATTACTCAAAGCAATCCCAAATGCAAAGTTATTCTATTAACATCAACTCAACGTCGTTATTATTATTATTGTCATTACGATGAAAACTAAATCCTATTTACTACTTTGAGTGTGTAAATCAAAAATATGCAGTGAACACGACATGAGAATACTTACACTTCGTTGTCGAACTTCCTACACCGCTTAATTGAAGGTATCTGAAATGCGCCTATATTGATTTAAGCTTAAAATTTGGCGGCTAGGCCTTGACTTTATTACGTAAATACACTCACTGTAAGAGTTCAAGAAGCTTACACTAAAATACAGTTACTTCTTACAACAATCAAGTTATGAATCGAGATAAAATATTTTATGAAACCAATTTATTCTCATCTTATCACTAAATGTTATTGTGAATTTAAGTACACAATCATGTAATTTAACATAAAATACATAAATGAAAAACTTATCTAAAAATTTGCAAAATTTGCAAAACATGAACTTACTAGAGGCAAATCAAGTGCTTGGGTACATTGCATAGAGTCTGTACAACGAAAACTACCCACATCTTTGATTTCATAATTCGTAGAAAAAGGAACATGTACGACAGGAGCTGAGTAAACATCAGCTTGCTTCAAACATGAATCATGAGCATTTTCGGGTATTAAATAGGCAGCAACCTGTGTGTTATCTTGCGCAATTAGCGAGTTCGGAAAGTTCGAGACGAATATAGTAGCATCTCCATAACACTCAGGGTTCTGATTTTCTAAAATAGGTGGGCATTCTGAATAAACTACAGCATTACTTAACCCTTCAGGGAAGGACTTGTAATAAGTTGCTTCAGAAGGGTTGTAGCAACTATAACCGTGAGGATTTATTGGAACAAAATCGTAGTTTGAGCACTCGGTAGTCTGACCGACTATTTCATAAGAATCTATCTGAGCCGGACAAACGCTGTATCCACCAGTATAACTTTGTCCATTAGTATCATACGCCTGTACAGTATGAATACATACAGATGAGTCCACATAAAAATCTGGATAGTTTTCAGTGGACGAATCGTGCCAGGTCAACATGCCATTCTTGGGTTCCCCGTTACAATCATTTGTACGTGTTAAATCTGGGTTTACTTCCAGTTGCGATGCAAAGCTCTGAGCCACATTGTCTACAAGCACTTCCTGTGGATACTCAAATGATGGCTGTACATTAGATACAGTAGAATTTTCGTGCTCCGGTCTATAGGCAAGCTGCGGAGTTTTAGGGACATCCGAGCAAGCTGGAACAGGAATATATGCATCCTTTTCGAAGGTACTACCTTCTTCAAAATCTATATGAAGATTCGGTAGGAAATTTGACTCGTTAATTACTTCGGGCATAATACTACCTGAAACGTGTATAGCCTCTTCAGATGGCCACACTAAAGTTTGTGGTACACAATCTCCATAGCTATTGATATTATTTTGGTCTGTGTAAGAAGTAGACGAATTGGGAAAACTTATTGGTATGTAAACTTCATTCTGTAACGGATATTCTGTAAGCATATGAAAATCATCAGATAAGTTGCTCGCGCAAGTTTCAGTCTCAGAAACTTCAAAGGTAACAAATGAATTGCCAACAGTTTCAGAACTAGAAGTCCAGTTACTTGCGCCTTCATGTTCGAAATCAACAACAGCATTTGGTAAATTATGCCAATTCAAATCTGACAAGGAATTTGGTGCAGAATCTGTGTAAACAGTAAGCAGCTTGTGTTGAAAATTTGAAGAAAACGCAGAATCCGGCACCGTCATTTGCAACAGACTGGTGGTGGTGCTAGCGGAAAAAAGACAAATGAACCACGATATACCAACTAATCAGTCAACTACAATATAAGAAAGAACAAACATCGCATTTATGAATATCGGATATGTAACTAATATTAGAATAATAGACGATTTCATTTAGGATTCTCACTGCATGTCTATAGTAAGTTAAAGAGGCTCTGATAACAGAAACATACAGGTGTGTGAAATAAACGAGCGTTACTCAACAAACAACTACATTTGTATGCAGTGGACTAATGACATTACGTATTCGCTCGAATCTCATTAGGAGAAGTGAAGTTCAAACCATTGGTCACCTCAAGTAATGGGTAACTGCCTTACAAAAAAATACAACAGAATGACAAAAACATTAGATTAAATTCGAATAACCTGTAGTTTAAAGAAACAGATGTAAAGTTCCACTGACCTAATAGTCAAGATGTATGCCGTTCAACACAAGAGTAATAATTTAAGATCGATCCTAATGGAGATACCCGCAGATAAATACGAATTCATCGAAATTCAGAGACGCACATATATCATTTTTGACTGGGAGAAATTTGTACTGATAACCACTGGTGTCGACGAACAGAAAGAATATAGTCTTCACAGAAAAATGCATATAACCTAACTAGTCGTATCTTCAACACTCCGGAATGCATTTATACATGGAAACTGGTATGCAACAGAAATATGCCCTAGAATCTCAAATGTTTTCGATTTTTCATAGAAAACTTAGGTTTCAATTATTGAATGCACTTTCGGTAGTCAAAAGTCTGACAGGTACCTGTCACTGGAACCCGAGTGTAACATATATTGTCGGTAGTTGCCAGCTTTTAAAAATTCCAGACACGTAAAAACAAAGGTAAACAGTTATTTATCAATTTATAAAATTTTTAATGACGTCATTCATAGGATAATGGATGAACAGTGATACTAAAAAATTTGAAATATTTTACAAACAATGACTTTTATGTCCTTACTTTCACAGATTGAGTTGCAATCCAAATTCAGATCTCTGTTTGTGAGAAATATTGCATGTAATTGGATGACACACTACACCGAGTATATTCCCTACGGTGTAGACATTACTGTACTCAGAAAATGAAGCAATTCTGAATTTTGAGGGACATAAATCCGGCTGATTCTGCAAGACATTCAAAGACAACCAGCTGTCTTATTCCAAACAAATGCACAAACGAGGAGTAACGTCGACTCTGTATAACGCGCCTTCTATCGTACAATATTAAATTTGATGAACAGATATGAAAAAACAACACCTATATGCACCGCTTCTTATTAACAAAAAAGAACTACTAGTACTTAGTTCACCTTTGTGCGAAGTTGAGAAATAGTGACTCGAGAAAACAAACATTCTGAGGTAATAGAAAAGATTTGTAACTCAGGTGGATGATTTGCAATTGATAGTGTTCTCTGAGCTCCTTTGTTTAATTGCGGAGCTTTCATCGGTCAATGCATATCTAAAGATGGTTACCGGGAGACTCATGAGGAAATTTGAATCATCTCACTTAAACCTAAATACTGCACTGAAGATGTCGTCCAGAAAGACGATGAAAGCTCCGCAATTAAACCAAAGAGCTCAGAGAACACTATCAATTGCAAAACATTCTGAGGTCCGACAGGCGTTTATCTGCATCGAAATGCCCTATTCGGATGAGAGAAGAGGAGGGTGAGGTTTCATCATAGTAAATAAGTATATTGAAGTTAGCAATATGTTTCACAGTCTTGCCTTTTGAAAGCATTTATTCACGAACAAAGCAGCGACGAAGACATTTGTTCTCCCACGATAAATACATTATCGATTGTTGAAGCTCGAGGAAAGCTATATATGTCAAAACCAAGTTCACTTTTAAGGGTTTGAAAAAATTTGGGTATTGGGTATATGATATTTATTATAATAAAGGTTTTTTGTATTTCTCAATGAATGAAAAACAAAACCATATTGTTTTTACTGACGTTTCGCCAATTTAAACTAATAGCTTTCTCAAAGTATTATTAAACCGGAATTTACAAAATCTCAGCATACATAATAAAGAGTTCGGGGGTGGGAAAAATAGACTTAGTTCAACTTAAGAATGCATATTGAAAATCAAAATAACAGTGACATTCTAAGAAAGCTATTAAAAATAAATAGCGAAACGTCAGCAAAAACAAAATGGTTTTGTTCTACATTCATTGGGAAATACAAAAAAACCTTTATTATAATCCAAGAAAGCTTCTTAAACAAACAACATTTGGAGAAAGTAATATGGAGTTCATGCGCCATTGTAGACTGCACATGTATCCTCAAACGAGAGAGAGTGTATTTACAGATGCCAATGCGGTTGAAGATTGAACGATCAATTCATGGTTGTTTGCTCAAACCCAAATCCATATTTTTCGCGGGAGTCATCAATACGGCGGTCATCGTCTCATCGTTCGCTGTTCGTTGGAAGACAGGAAAACCATCAGAAGTATTATCGTGATTTATTGTTATAACATTTATTCTCAGATTTTGTGTATAATAACCTTATTGTCGGTTACATATTGGCGTAGGAATAAAGGATTCTCGAGTCGCAAATCTGTGCTCTGGTTTATCGCGTTGCTTACTACGCATTGTTTCTGAAAGTCTTCCAAGGACAGCGTGAGGTCCGGCGCAGTAATAGCAGGACATTGACAGTTTCTGGGAGTTTACTGACAGTTTCTGATAGTTTCTCTTCGTCTTTATTCGTGTCTGCCCGTGTCAATGTAGTTAAAGATTGAACGATCAGTTCATGGTTGTTTGCTCAAAACCAACTTCCCCAGTTTTCGCGGAGGCATCAATACGACAGTCATCGTCTCATCGGTCGCTGTTCAGAAAGAAGTCAGGAGACAAATGTCAGAAACCTTAGTTGTAACATTGTTTATACGTTGGTGCTACAATAAAGAATCCTTGAGTCGCCAATTGGTGTTTTGGTTTTTTCGTCCGTTATTACTAAGCGTTTCTGAGGAACTTCAAGGAACAGCGTGAGCCCGAGTGCAGCAAGAACTGGGCACTGACTGTTTACGAGACGTGGCTGACAGCCCCCATTTTGTGGACAAGTGTAACCTGAAACTATCCTGGACTGCTTGGCTAAGTTTAGTAATGCCTGGGTCAGAGAAAGACAAAGCGTTTTGGAAGCAGGCAGCAGAGTAAGTAATACTGGGTCGCTTGTTAATTGTAATGATATGTATGATGCTCAGCATGATGAGTCTTTTGTTCGTCGGTTTGTACTTTAGGGATAGTAGGGGATTGAGGTTACGTAAATTCGAGCCTCGGTCCTTCGATGGAAACAGTTTCTAACAGTGAAGTTAGCTTCAGAAGGCGGAAACATTTTCCGACGGATTCAGATGGCTGGTGACAGTTTGAATAGTCACCGTTCATCTTTCCTGGTGCCGGTCAAGTCCTCTTTGAACAAGCAATATCTGGAACTTTTTGGAATTGGGTCAAGTTCAACAATGCCTGGGTCAAAGAAGGGACAGAGTGTCTTGGATGCAAACAGGAAAGTAAGTCATGGTGACCTGTCTGTTAATTGCAACGATGTGTCTGATGTTAAGCATGACATGGTTGATGTTACTGTTTCACCGTTCAGGGATAATAGGAACATCAAACTCCCTAAATTTGAACCACGATGTTTTGATGGAAACCCGGCTGATTATTTACAATTTGTAAAGGAGTTTGAGATTATGCTGAGTGGTTTTTTATTAAATCATGAATTGAAGTTAATGTATGTGATGAGATATTGCACTGGAGATCCTGCAAGAGCTATACAGTGCTGTAAGTTTATGAAGCCAAAAGAGGGCTACTACGAGGCTATGAGCATACTACGTGAAAGATTTGGAAGACCTTCGATGATTGTCAATGTAGTTGAAGATTGAACGATCAATTCATGGTTGTTTGCTCAAAACCAACTTCCCCAATTTTCGCGGAGGCATCAATCAGCCAGTCATCGCCTCATCGGTCGCTGTTCAGAAAGAAGTCAGGAGAAAACCATCAGAAACCCTAGTGAAAACATTATTTTTATATGTTGGTGTAACAATAAAGAATTCTCGAGTGGCCAATCGGTCTTTTGGTTTTTTCGCCCGTTATTACTAAGCGTTTCTGAAAAACTGCAAGGAACAGCGTGGGCCCGAGCGTAGCAAGAGCTGGGCATTAACGGTTTATGAGACGTGGCTGACAATGATTGTAGGGAAATTATTCGAGGCTGTTAAAGGTAATGGTGGTCAAATAAAGAATGACTCCCAGGCACTCACTGAGTTTTTAGATAATCTGTTGACTTACAAGAATGCATTGATTTCGATGAATTGCATGAGTGACCTCAACTCGAGTTTTATCCCAGAAGTAATAGCGAGACGCCTACCTACTCGACCGCAAAGGAAGTAGGTGAAGATGAGCTCCCGTATGGAGGATGAAGGTATCGAGCCAAAATTCGATGATATTCTGAAACTGGTAAATACTAGTGTCAATCAATCTATGAGCAAGTTTTCCAGTATATTGCATCTCACCTCTAGAATAGAGCAGTCTGAGGGCAAAACGCAATCATTGATGACGAATAGGCCTCAGAGAGGTGGATATCGAGAAGGCTCCATGATGTCTAGTAATGCATATAGATCTAGTGAGTGTAACAGGTTTCGTAGTGCATCCTCAACAGATAAGTTGCAAGACAAACACGGTTGTGTTGTACTCGTTTGCAAGAGGTGCATACAAAGGTGAACTGTGAAGAAGTGAGCAAGTCAGTGATAAGCTAAATGTAAACTCCAGGCCTGACTCCAAATTGTGTGACGATAACGGTGTGATCAATAAGTCTGTAGTTGCAACTGTTAAGCTATTGTTGAATAGAGTGTCACAGAATAGAGTTACTGCTTCAGAGTTCAGTTCTGACTCCACAAGTTTACAAGGTATTACTAGTCAGAGTGAAGATATAAACCCTCTAATGATCTGTAAGGAAGAACCCAAATCATCCACTGCT